TGCAATTGTTTCTGTGATACTTGAGGTGTACATTACCTCTTACAATGAATAAGACCTGTCCTTTTTTTCTCATGCTACACAAAACATGTCAGGCCAAAGGCGTAATTGGGGAAAGGATAATTAAAAGAGCAAAAGGATATGAAATAACTTTTATCAAGTGACTAGCTTGGTTTAACTTTCTGTTCATGTTTAAGTCTGAGGCAGCAGGGTGTGAAAGGGAGATGGTATTTGTGATACAGTGAGAATAAGCCTTATTGATATGGTATAAACCAGTTTAATGGCTTAAGAGTCCTGAGGAAAGTACATGTAAAGATTGACTTTAATGGAAAGCAGGTTGGAAACTGTCCGCTTCTTTTGGGCTCTAGCACTGCCGATATCACAGAAGCTCACTTTTCAGGAAGGTGATGGCTACCCTCCAAACTAAGCTTTGAAATGCCAGTTCTGATCTCCTCAATGCAACACATCCTACTCTTTGGCTATGTCTAGACTGGCATGATTTTCCGGAAAAGCTTTTAATGGAAAAGTTTTCCATTAAAAGCATTTTCGGAAAAGAGCATCTAGATTAGCACGGACGCTTTTCCGCAAAAGCACTTTTTGCGGAAAAGTGTCTGTGCCAATCTAGACGTGCTTTTGCGCAAAAAAGCCCCGATTGCCATTTTCGCAATCGGGGCTTTTTTGCGGAAAACAAATCTCAGCTGTCTACATTGGCCCTTTTGCACAAAAGTTTTGCGCAAAAGGGACTTTAGCCCGAACGGGAGCAGCATAGTATTTCCGCAAAAAGCACTGATTTCTTACAGTAGAAAGTCAGTGCTTTTGCGGAAATTCAAGTGGCCAGTGTAGACAGCTGGCTAGTTTTTCCGGAAAAGCGGATGATTTTCCAGAAAAACTGGCCAGTCTAGACACAGCCTTTATGTATGCAAACAACTACCTTGGTCCCTTCTGCACTGAGCAAACCAGCAACTGTTTTTCATTAAAACAGCAATATCAGACTGCCACACTGATCCATTTAAACTTACATTTGCAAATGGGAGAATTCTGGCTATCAAATGCTACCCTATGCCCGACTCCTTTCCTCAGCCTTGGCCCATAGAAAGCAAATATTTCTGATCAGTCTCCCAACATGCTTGGAGGTGGGGGTGGAGGGTTAATTTTTCCAGTTGCTCCAATATTATTGGGGTAGTAGGAGACCCCCATTTGAAGATGCTTTTAGGTAAGGATGATGTTGCTGGAAAAATAAAATGGTGTCTCAGAGAACCATAGCTGACCCCAGGAAAAGCAATAGGAACTATGGAGACAGTTATTACAGTGACAATATAAAGCCCTAACTATCCCATTACTCTATGGCTGCAGCCTGAACAAAAAAGTAACTGCTGTACAGAAGAAATTGCCAAGGTTCCACTTTGGTCCCATGGGAATACATTACAAGCTAGGTAATGTCTGTTTTTACTGCCCTGCATCCTTTGGAAACAAGATGATTCACATGTAAGCAATGGCATCCTACTATTTCTTCTATAGCCCAGGAATAATGGACTGGGAGAAGTCATCCTCAGAAAAGAAATTAGTACCGAATTTTCCATTCTCCATTCATTTGGAATGGTGAAACCACTTTGGCCAGGAACTTAGCATGAGGCTTGAAAGTAAGCTCGTCTAAAGCACTGTATAAGGGAAACCTGCCATAAAGACCTAAATCTCTTCTCCCCCTAAAAGTGGTATAATGTCTACTACAAAGGCAGTTTTTGGAGGTAAAGAGAATAGGTTGCTAAAAGTGGGGACTCATCATTACTGTTACTATGATATTGAGGCTCAGGGGGTGGGGTTCTGCCTAGAGAAAACACAGAAATAGAACCCTTAAAAATCTAGACCTTGTAGGGTGAGAAAATGCATGGCACCAAATAGGAGAGTGATACATAGTTATTACTACTGGCTGAACACTTCAGTTGCTGACAAGACAGTCCAAACTGCTTCAGAGATGGTAAATAGGCCTATATTGACTGAAATGGGGTTAAAGTAACTGATACTGAGATGCTCATCTCTCAAGCTGAGTGGAAGAGACTTTTCTAAGTCATTCCAGTCGAAGGTTTCCTGCTTTGCTGCAGATTGGTCAGAACTATAGGGCTGCGTCTAGATTGGCATGATTTTCCGGAAATGCTTTTAATGGAAAAGATTTCCGTTAAAAGCATTTTCGGAACAGAGCGTCTAGATTGGCACGGACACTTTTCCGCAAAAGCACTTTTTGCGGAAAAGCGTCTGTGGCCAATCTAGACGCGCTTTTCCGCAAAAAAGCCCCGATCGCCATCGGGGCTTTTTTGCGCAAAACAAATCTGAGCTGTCTACACTGGCCCTTTTGTGCAAAAGCTTTGCACAAAAGAGACTTTTGCCTGAATGGGAGCAGAATAGTATTTCTGCAAGAAGCACTGATTTCTTACAGTAGGAAGTCAGTGCTTTTGTGGAAATTCAAGTGGCCAGTGTAGACAGCTGGCAAGTTTTCCCGGAAAAGCGGCTGATTTTCCAGAAAAATTGGCCAGTCTAGACACAGCCTAGGTGAACAGACTCTTTTGGGTGATATCTGCATCTAGGCAGTCAAGTATAAGAAAGTTTGGTCTGAGTGTAGGACCTGGCAGCCAGATCAGATAAGGTACTAGTTCTCAACCCCAAGCACACATACCTCTGAGGTGATGCAGAAGTCTTCTTGAGGGTACAGCAATTCTAAATCAAGGTCTCTCAACCTGAAGGGCTGTGATCCTGAAGGAGGTCACAGGATGTGTTTAGGGCATTGCAAGTGCTGGGCTAGTGTTAGGGGGCAGCAAGCAAGGCAAATGCCCAACATCCCACAAAGCTAAGTTAGATGCTTCAGCCCCAGGTGGCAAGGGTCAGGCCTCAGACTCCTGAAAGGGGTACAATAGTTTGGAAAGGTTGAGAATCACTGAAGTGAGGTTCATCAAATCCAAATACCAGAACTGCTTGGCTCCTGCCAGAGGTCTCATGATCACGAACCCTGCCTCTTGCATCAGTTTCCTCCCTAGGTACCAGAGAGTTCATGGTAAAGGAATACATCAATCCCAGTAATCAGGGGATGAGAAAAGTGTCTGACCGAGAACTCTGATTCAAGTGCCCATCGCCTTGCTCAAGCAGAGGACTGAGATGTCTCACTCTCGGGTCATGGCTCCCGTCTGAACCCTTGGCTATCTGTTCTCTAGCCAACCTCTCCTACAAAGTGGCTTTCCTGGTAGCTATTTCTTCCACCAGATGAACGGTGGAACAGTGGACTCTTACTTCTGTATAGTTTTCATAAGGATATGGTGCAGCTGTGCCCCCATCCATCCTTTTTGCTGAAGGTGGTGTTGCCTTTTCATATCTACCAGGACATTTTTCTTCCTAAAAAATCCCATGCTACACACAGGGATAGGGTGCTGCATTCCTTGGACATAAGGCATGCCCTTATCTTTTGTACTGAGCACACTAAACTGTTCTGACGGTCAACACAACTTTTAGTCTCAATCATAGAATGTATGAGGGCCTCCTGATTAAGTCACAGTACCTGTCATCCTGGATCACTGTGTGTATCAAGCTGTGCTATGATTTGGCTAAGGTGCTATCTTCACCTATCACAGCGCATTTCACCAGGGCACAAGCCTTTTTGGTGGACTTTCTGGCACAAGTTCTGATTCAGGACATCTGCAGGGCGTGAAGTGGTCCTCCGTGCATACCTTCATTATTCATGATGCAATCACCCAGCAGGCATGGGATCATGCAGTGTTCAGTAGAGCTGTACTGCCCTCGGCAACAAGCTGAGGTCCGACCCCTCCTCCGTACAAACTGCTGATTAGTCGCATATTGGAATGCGCATGAACAATCACTCGAAGGAAAGTTACTTACCTTGTGTGATTGTTGCTCTTTGAGATGTGTTGGTCACGTTCATTCCAGACCCTCCCTGCCTTTGGCAAAAAGGAACTGAAGCAGGAGCCAGGTAGGCCAAGACATTATGCAGGGGGCATGTGCACACACATATTGGGTATGGACATGAGTAACTCATCTTGAAGAACAACAATTATAAAAGTAACCAACCATTCTTTCCTTCCCCAGCAAGAGAGGCGGTAGGAGTGCCAGTCATTAAATGGCATTGGAGTTTTGCATGAAGAAACTCATTTTCAATCTAGGGATTTTACTTCTCACATAATGCTCTACAGAGAGGACTGTAGCTTAACATAAGAACGGCTGTACTGGGTCAGACCAAAGGTCCATCTAGCCCAGTATCCTGTCTACCGACAGTGGCCAGCACCAGGTGCCCCAGAGAGGGTGGACCGAAGACAATGATCAAGCGATTTGTCTCCTGCCATCCCTCTCCAGCCTCTGAAACAGAGGCCAAGGACACCATTTTATCCCCTGGCTAATAGCCTTTTATGGACCTAACCTCCATGAATTTATCCAGCTTCTCTTTAAATAAAAGAGAGCATATGGGCAAAGCACTACCTATATGATCTAATCTTTGCAACAATCAACCAAGGTCTCTCCATCACTGGTAATTTTTAAATTGAGCTGTTTTTCTAAGACATTCTCTAGAAATTATTTTGGGGGAGGTTCTATGGCCTGTGTTGTACAGATTCCAAAGCCAGCAGATGGACATGGCAAAGATTTTATATCACTGCTATAGGCAGCAAGAAGGAAATGAAGAACCCTTGGGCCTGCAACACCCTGAATCCCCTTTGTCTTGGAGGTGCAAGGACATTTAGGGCATAGATATGGTCCCCAAAAGAAAATGATAGTCAAAAGCATCTGATCTCAAAAGCATTCAGTGCACAGAGAGCAAGAGTGGAATCCATATGGATAAACACTAAGGATACATCTACACTGCACAGCTATTTTGGGATACCAGAGGAATCCCGAAATAGCTACCCCACGTCTACACAAGCCACCTGTTATTTCGAAATAACGGGCATGCTATTTTGCCATCCTGGTAAACCTTGTTGCATGAAGGATAAGGAATGGCTAGAAATAGCTCATTGCGTATCTTCTTTTGATCTTAGGGTGCTGCGTAGACACACCTTAAATAAGTTATAAGTTCCTCTCCTACATGTGAGGAAGCAAATGCAAAATAGACCATGGTGATCTCTAGTTCCATGTATTTATCTTTAAGAAGGGATGTGTATATACACTGCAGGAAAAGAAAGTGTGAGTGTAGTCTTTTGCAGAGCTCTGCAAATCTTTGGCTATCTGCAGATATGGATGCATATGTTCACAGCTCATTTTTGCAAATATGGATGGAGATGCAGATACACATTTTGTATCTCGAACCCCACACATTTCCAAATATATACATAATCAGATGTGGATATCTATAGCTCATTGTTGTGGAATTAGAAGGGCTCTACAGTAATATATGACTCCTTTTCAAGGAATCCTCTGTATGGATGTTGAGAAAATCAGTTTGCTCATTATTATGAAGACTTCTATTTCTTAAGCAACAGACAAATCACATGCATGTTTAAATATCTTAAATCACACCATAACAGAGTTTCAAACATGTCGGAAATGAGCAGAAACAACACTATGGTTGTTCTTTCAAAAGTTTACAGACAAAGACTGACTTAATGCAGCTTTGAAACTACCATGCCAAAACAAAACAAAAACCAACAATGCTTTCCTGTGGGTTTTTTTTTTTTTTTTTTTAAGTAATTTACATTTAATCCAAGTGCTGTACTATAGTTGGTGCTTTTGGGGTACGAGGGGGATCTCTGCTACTTCTTGATTATGAACTTCTAGTTCCAAATGCGGTTGACTGGTCAGTTCATAACTCTGGTGTTCTATTATATGATGTGATTTATGTAGCACTTTGTTAGCCTCAAAACATTTCACATAATTAACAATCTATATTCATACTGGAGTATACTGCTCTTTCACTTACCACCAATACAGCTGGCAGTAGTATACAGAAACCCATCTAAATGGCTTTTTCCCCCTTATATAACAGAAAGTGAATAAGTAAATGATCCAATTAATTAAAAGGAAGTTTAGATAGCAGAATACAATTCAGAATTAGTCCAAGAGGCGGTGAAACAGTCTTTTGAAAATAGTTATAGGATCTTTAATACCCAGAACTGGTCAATAACTGTTTTAAATCTCATTCAAAGAACTGTAATCTCAGAAGAACAGCACCCTTAGCAGGCTACAGCATCAAAATAAGACTCTGGGGATTGTGCCAATATTGGTACTTGGTCAATATCACTATCTGCAGCAGCCAGGAGATGAGATCCTCAGGAATTCGTGACTCAGTAGGACCTTGCTTAGCTTACAAAATTATGGTCTGAATTAATATGTTACAGACTAAATCTGGTCATTTTTACACAGTTAATTACATGTTAACTTTTAGCCATAAAAATAGTATTTGAATATTTAAAAGCTGCCTTATTAACAAAGTATTATATAAAAATCAATAGCAAATGACTGAAATACAAAAATCAAATGGCTCGTGTCTTTAATATAAAATACATTATGCTTTTCTTCCAAAAGCAATAAAACAATAATAACCCAAATCAGAGTGCATTATAGAATAACTTAGGAACTGTTATGAGATACAAGAAGATTTCGTGTGCATATAGTGAATCTTGCAGTCAGTGAGGTCATAGTAGAATCTATCTTCTGTGTATTTCAGGCATTTTTTATTTCTCAAAATACATAGATTAGTTTTTTTCAGTTTTTATTTTCTACTAAGTAGCCATTGCTACCACCACTTTTCAAAGTAAATGCAGTCTGTAGGAACACCAAAGTTTTCTAGTAGTTTGGATATAGATTCTATCATTGGAGGTGGACCACAGATGTACCATAAAGTATCCTTAGACACATGTTTTTCTAGTTCCTTTTCAGATATTCTTCCCTCTACCAAAGAGAATACACATAGATAAGAACAGAAAATTAATATGAAAATAGATATTTATATAGTCAAAAGGCAGTGGCTTAAAAGTTTCAAACATAATTTAGTGGTTCTGCACTCCAACACCCGTCCTCTGTTTAAGGTTGCTCAAGTTAGGAAACCACACACAGAAGTATACAAAACCACTTAGTTACCTGAAAGCTAACATCAGTTTTTAAAAAAACCCAGTGTTAATTTGCAAGACATTTGTTGTTCAATTACTAATAATAACAGTCATAATACTGTACAATTAAAATATCCCATATTTAGTTGAGAATAGATCTCTTTCTCCCTCTGTGACAAGGACAGTGGAAATGATGATCCAACATCACTTAATAGCTGTGGATTTATCCTGCTTTGTCATTACAGCTTTGAGCAAAATAATATAAGCACTTAACACGCAGAGGAGAGGACTGGGTATGAAGTTTAAAAAGGACCAAAAAATACATACAATTAGATTATTCATGTTTCTCAGGTACACATTTTCCCACTTATCCACTGGGCTCCTCCCCATTTTGTATGATAATTTGTTAGATAATATAAAACATTGGATTATGCACAAACATCTGTAAGAGTACTAAAATTCACTTCAGTATAGGCTGAACAACACTACAGTCATAATTCCCTCCAAACCAATTGCTTTAACATCTCTAGGCAACACCACAGTACATACCAGTGATATAGGGCTGAAGTTCTTCACTGATTTGTGAACTCTGTTGGGTAACATGGAAACTGCATGTGATCTTTCCAGGAAATTCATTCATCAAACCAAAGATATTATTCTGGAATATTAGACATACTTGGTCATACCACAGAGTCCATTAAATCAAAGCAGATGTGTGCACAGAATCCCAGAACACGGTTGACTGTACTATAGTATATATGCTATGATTCTGTACTGCAAATTCTCTTAATTTAAGAATTTGATTATTTGAGTTTAACAAGACAGAACTTTAAGCACTTTTGACTTCTTTATCTGGAATCTGAATATACTACCAATTATATTGCTGATGTTTTTCTCTGTTTCTGCAACTGTAATTTGTAATTAAACCACACTTGCATCTTATAACTATTTCCGCTCTTTTGTGGCTTCTCCTATTGCAGCTGTGAAGCTGTCAAAAAGGCAAACTGGTCTCCATTTCCTCCCTCCATTTTCCAGAAACCTGATGTTTTTACTTAAAAATGAACAAGTTGTGCATTTCAATTGTCCTTTTGGTACAAGTCTGGAACCACCTCCCCTTGATAATATACTGGCCTATATTTCAAGAAAAATTAAAACTACCCACAGGCTAAATTTTTAACCCTATTAAGGCTCTGAGTAGAAACTCATTAATTCTCAATTCTATAATCCACAAATTTGCTCATTCTCACCTAAATCCCAGTGGCCTCGTGTCAATGCTCAGTGAAAATTACTAGACTAGCACTGTAATGAAGTTTCACAACTACGACTTCATTAGTTTCTGATTTAAGCAACTTGGGACTTCTATAACTAAAGGTAACAGGCAAAGCTCCACAAATTAATTTTAAAGAAAGTAGATTATAGGATATTTGCTAGATTATGATGTAAATCCAAACTATATTCTGTAATGCAGTATCCTGTAGCATGTTTACCCTCTAGTCTGAGTAATCTGTCATGGGCTTCCCGGTCAATGAGAACAAGCCTGGATTTAGAATAGATACAGAAATATATAGAGATGTCCTTTAACTCACTTTGAAGACTTTGGGCGAACTCTAGTGCTCATGAAAATAAGAGACCCTCAAATAGGACAAGGTATACAGATAGACAATGCTGCAAACAGCTCTGCCAATACCCTTGATACAGACCCAATTTTACTTCCATATTATTGCCAACTTCCGTTCACAAGATACTTGGGGAACTGTGCAGAGTTCTGTGATTTTTTTAGTCAAATCTTCTTCAAAAGATGAGAGATATCTGGTCCAGGCTAAGCAGGTTCATAAGCAAATTCACAGGCTGCCCCCTTGCTTATCAGGCCCAATGCAGCAGTGGCCAGAGCTCCAGGCCCCTTTGAACTGCCACCAGAGTGCTGCTCTGAGCAGCTCGCAGGGTTGGAGGAAGGGGGAGACTGTGGCCCGAGCAGTGCTGAGAGCTGGCTGCCCTCAGCCTTTCCCCTTTCGCCCCAGGCCTTGCCTCTTCTGGAGGCAAAGAGCTGCCTCTCCCCACCCCCACCTTGGCTCAGGGCCAGTAGTGGATGTTGACCTCGCTGCTGGTTATACATTCACTCTCAAGGAGTGCAGGCCATGATTCTTCACACACCTCAGTGCTAACAATGGGTGCTGACTGAGAAAGGCAGCGCTTCCCCAGCATCCTTGGGTCAGAGATGTTTTTTTCCTCTGTCTGTCTGAATCCGCCAGTTGACAACGAATGTACAAAATGGATATGGCAGCTGGACAAAAGACCTCTCTTCTCATAGTGACTGGAAGGTGGGAAGGGAAGAACAGTCACATTCACATTTAATGAAACTTGAGACAGCTATTTAAGCAGCAACTGGAAAAACACTACATTAATATGGTATAATTATATAGTGGGTAATATACCATAGAGCTACATTTTCAATGGGAGTTGAAGAATAGTAACTGCCTATGAAGTTGCTGAAGAGAATGCACAAGGGAAAATGTCAGAGCAATGAACTATTCTAGCATGAGAAGGTGATAAAGGAAGGCCTGCTTCACAAGCAATTTTTTCTTTGGGGTTAAAGGGTCCTCCATATTCTTGCTGAAGCACTAAAGGTTTCCTGGGACGTTTAATATGGAGTAATCTCATAACAAGGAACACCAAGCCCCATATCCTGATTTACAAATCGATCAATGAATTTTTATTCTGAAAGCTAAATTTCAAGAGATCATGAAGAACACACATAATAATTCATTAAAATATGGCAATGTAACCTGTAGTCATCTTATCACACAGTTATTTTCCAAAATGCTGTAATATAAAGACTATTCTCTCACAAAATTGTAGAAGTAGATTTTCTAGAAAGTACAGGCATCCCCATCCTCATTAAAAACTGCATATATTTATTTATCAAGCACACAGGAACCTTAGCTGTTGCACTACTGAATGAAGCTATTGATGCAGGTGTGTTATTCTGCCCCCACATTTATTTATCAAGCACACAGGAACCTTTGCTGTTGCACTACTGCATGAAGCTATTGATGCAAGTGTGTTATTCTGCCCCCAGAAGCAAAGAACATGGGATGCGTTAGCAGAAGCAAATATCTTCTTTTACCCTGAAGGATGTATCTGACTTAATTATGCAATACTGCAAGTAGAAAGAAAATTCTTTACTGAGTTGTGCAGACAATACACCTTTCATAATGCATAATGTTTGATTAATTTTGACTTGCCTAGCAAAATTGAGAAACAAGGATCATATAATTGCCACTTCCCCCAATTTATTTATTGTTTACATTACAATAAACTCTACAGTCCCCAGTGAGGGGACCCTGCTGGGTTAGATACTACACAGATCCATTGCGAGAGAGAGTCTGCATCCCAAAAAACTTGTAATTTAGACATGACAAACTGAGGGCTGACTGGCAAGTATCACAGCATTTACAGATTTTTTTACTGAAAGAAACTGTAAGAAACGTTACCTTTTAATTTCATTAAGTGTCATAGCCATACTATGCAATAGGGTTTTTGTAACTAAGAGGGGGAAACTCATCAATTCTTTGCCTAGTTTACGGTATCATGCCCATAATTCCTATCTCCGATACACGAAACAATATCACTATGCAATCAGTGGATGAAAGTAGCCCTGATTTTCCACTACCTATCTTCCTTGCCTTTGTAATCGTATCACAAAAGTGCTATGGTCAAACACAAAGACCTTCCATTAGATGAGGGCAAATCATTGCCAACTGTCACAACAACTTCTGCATTATTTTATTAATGTCATATGCAAGACATTATTTTATTTTAATTTGTCTCTGCAATGCGTGACTTGCGCAGATTGACTTTTTCTCGCTCAGGAGAATAACAGAAGTCAGAACCTATTGGCAGATACAAGCACTTTAGACAACGTTATACTAACAGGCTTCCCCTTATGTTTTATCTTGGATAATCTGTACAGCAGCCATCTTGCAGCTCAATCCCTTAATGTGTTTAAATACACCAGAGTTTCCTAAACTTGGTTTGCAAATCATAAATATTGTTTCACTGGAAGTTTTCACCCATTTACAGTCTACTTCCTTCAAGTAGCTTATTTTGAGCTAAGGGTGCTGTGTAGATGCACCCTAACAAGTTACATCAGTGACCTTACACCCAAGTGCTGCAATACCTGATCCTTAAACTGTCACAAACATTCAGATGATGGCAAAGTATGATTACAAACTATAAACAATCCACATAGTAGTATGAGATGATGTTACAGCAACATGATGAAAACTAGTTCTGGGCAAGAAACACAGTACTAAAATCCCCACCTCCCACATCTATGTTTTCACACTTTTGAGCTAGAAAACAGAAGTAATTTTTAAAAATGCTTTTTAAAGAAAATTGATATAGGTACTTACACTTCTAGGATTAGCAAATTCTGAACACATCATAATTGCTAATATTTTTATCCTTAGCAACCCTTATGTTACAAGGACGCATAGCTTCCAGCTCTGTGCTACCATTTCTACATCTTCATTTTGTCTAATCTCTTCAGTAGAAATTTGACCAAACCCAGCATTTTAAATTCAAAATTGCAAAATTTCATGCCAAAAAAAGTGACTTCGCATTTTCAAATTATACAAGAAATTCTCAGTCAGGCCCTTGACATTTTAGGGTGTGAAATTTATATAACCAATTAAAAAATTGAAATTGAAATTTATAACTTTTAAACTTATTTTATCCAGCCATAATCAAAACACAGAGATGTCAATCTTGTTCTGAGACTTTTAGGGATTTTTTTTTAAACAATTAGGGAAGTTGGACTTCTCTCTACATCAACCTTCCCTTTCCCTCCACCTCAAGAAACCAAGACCTTTGACTATGGTCAAAGTCAGTAGTGGGGAAGAGGAAAGATGCCTGCCTATGCCACTTTATGGCCTTAATTATCTTGGTCAGTCCTCAGCCTGTACCTCCCTCACAGAATGATGCTCTTCTTCCCTTTCCTCTTTCAGTTCCCTCTCTCCTTTTCTACTATCACTGCCTCCTCCGGCCACTCTGGCTTCTTCTCTTCTGCAGACTCCATGGTAAGAGTTTAATAGGAGACAAGCTGCCGTGACTATTAATAAGGCCACTGCATAGGCTGTGTGTTGTACTCTAATTGCCCAATGTGGACCTTCCTGGAATACTCTAGATCGGGGTGGGCTAAAGGGCCTCCGTGGGCCGGATTCGGCCAGCCAAACAGGTTGATCTGGCCCATGGAGGTCCTGCTGCACCCCTGCGCCCAAGGCCTCGGTTCTGGGGGAAAAAGGGAATGCGCGAAGTCTCCTCCCACCCTTCTCCCACACTGCAAGGAGTGCACAGTGCTTAGAAGCTCTGCACGCTTCTTGCAGGACAGGAGGTGACTTCATGTGCTCCTCTTGCCCACAAGCCCTGATTAACCGGGAGATATGGGGAATGCGTGAAGTCTCCTCCCACACTGCAAGGGGTTCGGCACTTAGAGTCAATTGACAGCTGCTGCTCAGCTCGCGGGTGACTAAGTGCAGTGCTCTCTTGCAGGGCAGGGGCAGACTTTGCATGCTCCCCTTGCCCCAGGCCCTGACTGACCTGAGGGCAGGGTAGGGCAGGGTAGCGTGCGAAGTCTCTTCCCACCACCAGGGGTGTGGGCAACTAGAGGGGACAGACAGATGTTCAGAACAGCTGGTGGTTCTCTTGGGGGTGGGAGGAGACTTCACACGCTCCTCCACCCCCAAACCAATGAGGGTCTGTGGGCCAGAAAGCACAGAAGTGTCCTGGCCCTGCCCCTTCTGGACAGCCAGATTTCTGAATTGGCCCCTTGTCAAAAATTATTGCCCACCCCTGCTTTAGGTACTTACAGCACATTAACATAGTCCAGCAGGCTACATGTGTGCCAGAGAGGGCATAATACAGCCTCTGGTTTGGGCAGTTAATTCAGCAGTTCTCCAACCTGTTCAAAACCATCACAACTTGCCTCCTATCAGACTCAGTGTCAGTCTGCAAATGTGCACTAGAGATGGTGATGGTGAATATCCATGCCCCCCAACTACAATGTTACTTGCTATATTCATTGGACCTGAGTGGTGGTTAGTAACACAGGCACACACTTCTTTTTAATATATATATCCCTGTGTGCGCACTTGCAAAATTGATAAATTTAAGCCTGAAATAATAATTTAAGTACGTATAAAAAAAATCAAGAGATTACTGAAAATAAGGGAGGGTTGGCATCTTTGACATAAAAGGTCACCAAAGTCATGACTATGAGAGAGCTGTTTAGTGGCATATGTTTAATATATTTCAATTCCTAGTGCATGTGTCCACATCACAAAAAACAGCAGCAGATTTACTGCCACCTCTGTTGGGAGGCCAAGAACTAAATGAAGAGAAACCAAGTGACCCTTTCAGCTCTGAATCAGGATTCTGACACACACTTGGGGGACATTGTTGGCAACCTTGTGCTGCTGTTGCACACAGGTGCACACACTTGCACTAGGGATGTTAAAGACCAGTCGATTTCCCCACCCCCACTTGTTGCCTCTATGAGATAGAGGCAGCAAAGAGGGGGAAAGAGGTATTTCAAAGTGGCATTTCAGAGAAGCAGCCATGGAGCCCAAGGTCAGCTGGGGACTCCCCAACTGATCCCAGGTTCTGTGGAAATGCCATGCAGAGCCCGGGATCAGTTGGGGAGTCCCCAGCTGGCTCCCTGGCAGCCCCCCGCTGGCTCCATGGCAGCTGCCCCTTTGAAAAGCCCCCTCTGCCTGTTTCAAAGGGGCAGAGGAGCCTGGGGTCAGCTGGGGAGTCCCCAACTGATCCCAGGTTCTGTGGAAATGCCATGCAGAGCCCGGGATCAGTTGGGGACTCCCCAGCTGACCCCAGGCTCCTCTGCCCCTTTGAAACAGGCAGAGGGGGCTTTTCAAAGGGGCAGCCGTGGAGCCCGGGGTCAGCTAGGGACTCCCAGCTCATCCTGGGCTCCATGCAGCAGTGGGAGCCCCTTTGAAACACACGGAGGTGGCATTTCAAAGGACAGTGGAGCCCAGGGTCAGCTGGAGAGTCCCCAGCTGACCCAGTGCTCCATGTCTTTAAAATGCACAAGAGCCCCTGCTGGGGTCTCTTGTACATTTCAAAGAAGGCACCAGAGTGTAGCCCCGAGTCAGCAGGACTTCCTGCTGGCCCCAGGCTGTATGTGGAGTTCTGCATTCCTCCTTTGAAATGTGCAAGAGCCCCAGTGGGGGCTCTCGTACATTTCAAAGGAGGAATGTGGAAGTGCCTATTGACTAGTTGAATAACCAGTCAATTAACCACATTTTAACATTCCTAACTTGAACCTCTTCTGCATACTGAAAAATAATGCTGCATAACACATACTGCTGTTCTGTGCAGAAAAGATGTCAATATCCAGGGTTAACCATCTTAACAACAGTCATCAGCACGACATTTACTAAATCTTTTGAAACAATACCAATACATATGTTCAGCCATTTGATGTGCACAGATACACTCAATAGGATGTAATACTTCACTATTCAGTTTTGCTTTACATGGAGAAAAAATATTTTGAAGCAACAGTATTATCAGTTTAATTCTTATTCTATAAGCCAAGACTGTAAATCACATGATCGGAAAAAAGCTAAATCCTAGCTTCTCTGAAATTCCATCAGTAACTATCTGGTTCATTTTCAAAAGTAATCTCTAGCTTCATCTAGGGAGTTTTTAATACCAAGGGTCTGATGATAGGTGTGATCAGCACCCAAAATTCCAGCTGAAGTTAATGAGTGCTCTTGAAAAAAAAAATCAGTGTCTTAAGAAGAGTACTCAGAAATAGAGGCATCAAAATTTAGATGTGACTTTTGAAAAACTGGCTAATTGTCTTTAAGGAGCTAATTAGTATAAGCAGCATAGGTTTTTGAATAGAAATGTAGAAGGCTTATTTTGGAAATATTTGAGCTTTAACTGCAGCTGTGGTTAATGCCACAATACTATATTTCTTTAGATGTTCCTCCTCATGTACTGATATTGCTTCCTGACTATGCAATCTTTGTAAATGTGGGCACCTTGAAGATGCATGAAAATGTAATATAGGCCTTTGTGTAATTTTAGAAAGAATTTTTCAGAAGACATTTTCCATTAGAATTGCTTTTACAGATTGACTTGACAACCTGTGACTAGCTTTCAATTGTCTCTTTGGCAACCATTACACTGGATCATTAGGTCAGATGTTCCCAAACAGAAAGCAAATCAAGATATTTAAGGTCAGTAAAACAGGAACAAGGGGGGATATGCAGAGAATTATAACAAAATTTACAATATAAGGCCTGATTTTGTACCATAGAAATCAACAGGAGCAAGAAAAAGGGTATACAAACTTCCTGGGGAATGGATAGTCTTTGTTCTGTGTTTGTAAAGCACTTAGCCCAAGAGGGGCCCGGTCTATGAGTAGCACTCCTTCTCACTACACTAATATAAACAAAAAGAACAATAAACCTTATGAAAAGGACAAAGAATTCAAGGAAATTCTAGTTTCCTTTTACTTACCTTAAATAAGAGTTCATTAGTGTTTTTTGCACTATAGTACAGCTTCACTGTTTCCATTTTATACCCATTTCCTTCACTCTCTTGATTCCTAAGAAAATCTGCTACATGTAGCAGTATAGAGAACAATGGGTTGATTCCTACGCCCCCTGCTATTAGCACAAGGTTTACAGAGGAGTCAGCAGGTTGAGGATCAAAGAAGAAATTGCCTCCCACTCGCAGAGCCACTTCTGAGTCAAGAGTGCACTAGGGATAGAAAATAAAATATTTTAGATTTAACTAAAAGCAAAGGACAAAAGCACAAGACATTTTTACATGGCTAAATCATAAGACAAGCTGGGTTTCAGGATAAGATAAGCATTGTTAGTTTTTACATATTTTACCAGTGAGGGAAAGCTCAAGTATTCTAAAACACACACTCAAAATTAACCCAGTTATCTGAAGTCAGTTGGTTGACTGCCCTGAAGAGGCCAGGTTTTTGTCCTCAGGCCAAGGCACAGCCGTAATAAAGAAAGACTGATGACATTTCCCCCTGAGGGCTAATGCAGAATATTTCAACTAAGTAGGGATTCATGCTAGAATTTTTACACAATAAAAACGTGTGCTGCTGTGAAGACCCAAGGTTAAAGTCTGAGATTTCCACTAAGTCCAGAGCTCTAATTCTCAGAAAGGCTCTTCTAAGAGAAAAGGAAGCAGGCCACTGGAAGAAGTCATGCTGCAGTAGTGTGGACCAAAAAAAGGACTTCCCCACTACCACTTCAAAAAAGGAGAGAAACCACAAAAAGAAACAGGGATATTTCTACCTGTTTTCTTAAAGTACTGCAAAAGCCACAAGGTTTGCTTTTCCCTTTCAAAATCAAAATTCAGTCATATATGAATAGAGGGTAGTTTCTGAGAACAACTCTGGAAATAAAATTTAATACGTGGAAAAATGAAACTGCCCTGAATATATCATACTTGAGGAATGCCCTCTTGGAATATGAGAAAGCTGTTTCAGTTCTAGACTGACACCCTTGCGTAAAGGAGGAACTGAGACCATGAGTTAGTAGCAGAACCTGGAAGAGAAGACAGAATTCCTGACCAGAACTGAATGTTCTCACTCTACAGTACACCACACAGAGGGGGCAGGACAAACCCAAAAAGCAAGAAAGGTAAAAAACAGAGAAGAAAAAAAATCACTAGGAATGGCAATTCATCACAGATCAAAAAAGTGCTGCCTCTCAAAAGTCTCTTTTATTATCAGGAAATAGCAATTGAAACAGACTAGGCCAAATCACTTCACTTTAAGGTGAAGAAAAACGAAACAAAATATTGAGACAGGATGTTGAAAGACTAATTCTTATTTGCCATTTTGGTAGGATGCTATTACTATAATACCATTTAGGAAGTAAACCCGAAGACTAAGCTAGTCACTTGTCAGGCTCCAACAGACTGAGAAATTACAGTCTTAAGCGCTTTACAAAACAATAAGTAAAGCACGATCAAAAAGGTAACTCTTGGGCTTATAGTTAAGTGACAATGTCTCAAACAGGTCTACCACAAACAGATTTTCCATCAGCATCAGGCATGTATAATTAAGCAATGCTCCAAGCCCCAAGAGACTACCAGTAGAAAGATGAAGGAAAGAAAATTCTTTGAAGCAGAGATATTACACAGAACTGGGATTGTAAGGAAGCAAGCAAGCCTATAAAGTAAATAGCATCATTACCCTAAAACCCAAAATATTTCTTTCTTTGCTAACAACTGCAGTGTGTAACGTGGACAACTAGGTGAGTCCCTCTTATCCACCTGTCTAATAGTATTAGACAACCTTTGTGTGTGATTTTTGAGCCTAGTTCTTCATCCTCTTTCTAGCACACAGGCAGGCTCATTCCATTTTTCCATGCCTCACTGAGGCACCTTCTTCCTTCCAGGCCTCAGAAGAGGACAAGTACCACCTGGAACAGGGGAAGACAAACTTTCTCACAGAAAATTAAATTAAAAAAAAAAATAGGAAGGGACAAAAATACCCTCCCAGTTCACTTTGTAACGCTCATCACCGTGGTCTCTAGAAGAAAGTTTGGGTTTGGGACACACTGAGTTAGACACCAATGTTTTACACCAGCAGCCCCTCTATACAGTTCAGGGAGCAGTGGAATAATCTTAATGACAGATGAGGAAGACACACCTATGTATCTATCTACATGAGAAAAGAAGATTATTATTTTAAGAGTCATCATGTTAGTGAAGACTATTAATTATGGGGTGATCTGGTGAGGAAGCATCACTCTGTACCATATAACTAGCACACTCTACTAGTAGTAAATTGCCAACATTACACTGAAATGACACAGAGAAAAACAGAAAAGATGGATTCAACAGAAAAAAACCTACACTACAACTTTACCCGTAGAAGCATGTCTTCTTGAAGTTGTTAAAATTAAACAGGAAAACTCTATTTAAAAAATAAATCAGGTGCAGTAAGAAAATAAGTAATATTTAGCATTTCTACAGCATCCTTTATTCTGGAATCTCAACATGCATTCCAAATTAATTGTAATCAATTAAGTCTCTCAGCTTCCCTACCTAATAAATATCACAGGATTAAAAGAGGTCACTACATTTTCCCTTCCCCTTTCCTCATTACAGAAACAAAGCACTAGCTTAATAGGAAACTCAGCTCATATCCTCTTTAGCCTCATCTTTTGAACTAGTTTACACATGAACTGAGTATTTTCCTGTGATTTAATTGAGAAAATTCAATAGCAGTGTTAAGAAGGGAGCTATCAAAAATCTTCAGAGATGCCTCAGAGATAAAATATTAAGTTAGGCTTTCAATAATATGTAGTGAGCAATACCAAAGAAATAGGAAACCTCCATGCATACTCGCATTAAACGTGCAGCTCAGTGACACTGGTCCTACATTTTCTACACAGCCTTTCAAAACAAGTCATTTCATTTGAAGTCCAGTGATGCATGAAACTACAATGATTTAACAGCCACAGAAGTACAGTTCAAGGTCACACAGAAACTACTGGGTTAGGATCAACCTGGAGATTCCTGCTTAATTTTTATTGTCAATCTTCTGTGAATCTTGCAAACAGCTATTTTCTGAAAACACAATTTATGAAAAAATTAACAGTCCAGCAGCACAGCAGGGCTTAGGCAGGCTGCCTGCATGCAATGGCCCCTCACCACTCCTGGAAGCAAGTGGTTGCCGGTACATCTCTGTACACCCCAGAGAGGAGACTGATGGGAGTGGAAGGGCTCTGTATGTTGCCCCTGCCCCCAGCACCATCCTCACAGCTCCCATTGACCAGTTCCCAGCCAATGGGAGCTGTGGGAGCAGTGCTTAGGAGCATGGCAGTGCATGGGAGACCTGCTGCTCCTCTACCCCCAAGGAGAGTGCTAAGACCTGCCAGCAGCCAGCTGCTTCTGGGAGCAGGCATGAGGCCTTGGCATGTAGGCAGCCTGCCTGACCCCATCTGCACATCTGGCCAGGAGCCACCTATGGTAAGCTCCTCCTGGCTAGAGCCTGCATCTCACACCCCCTTCTGCACCAGGACAGAACCTCTTCCTGCACCCAAACCCCCTCCCAGACCTTGCACTCAATCCTGCACTTCAATCAGCTGACCCAGCCTGGGGCCCCCCCTCCTGCACCACACTGCCTTCCACAGCCCACACACCGATCCCTCTCCTGCACCCCAACAGTCTGCACAAGCCTGGAGCTCTCTTCTGAACCATATTCCCTCCTACAGCTCACATCCTCTGATGAGAGCTCTGATGAGGTAGAGCAAGGACAAGTGCAGAGTCCTGCACTTGAGATGGAAGAATCCCAAGCATTGCTACAGGCTGAGGATCGACTGGCTAAGCAGTTCTGCAGAAAAGGACCTGGGGATTACAGTGGATGAGAAGCTGGAGATGAGTTAACACTGTGTCTTTGTTACCTAGAAGGCTAATGGCATATCGGGGTGCATTAGTAAGAGCATTGCCAGCCGATCTAGGAAAGTGATTATTCCCCTTTATTTGGCACTGGTGAGTCTGGACATGATTGCTGGAAAGTTTCAGATACAGGAGGTTAGATATAGCTATGTAATATTACAAAGCTGTATCTAACAACTGACTTCAAGTTCTAAGTGACAAATAACGTGATCAGTATGTAATCATGTGCAAATATCATTTACCTGAGTGTGAATCCAGTGAGCAGGAGGATGGACAGTATGTTTTACTGCCAGTTCCAATACTCCCTCTTCTTCTAGTAGACCAGGGCTTGAACATATTGAGAATCCACCAACTACGGCAACATCAGGAATAAAGAAATCTACCCTAAGAAATAAACAAAAGAAACTTTAAAAACAAAGCCAGGAATGCTCAAATTTCCCCCAACACAGGAAATGCTGGTATCAGCTATTCTGAATTTACCAAAACATATATTCTGATTTCTATAAGGTTCAGAATCCAACAGAAATAGTGCAATAACAGGTTTTTGTATTTTTATGTTTCGATAATAAAGCTCAACAAAACTTTTTACAAAGTTGTATAACCATTTTTACTAGGTTAATAATAATAAGAATTTGTATCTGAACACACAGCTTGAGTAATGCCCTCAAATCAGAATTATTTTCACCTACGACTGTAAAGAGACGGGATTATTTCTTTTTATTTCCAGATCACCAGGAAGTAAAATACATCTATATTATATTGCCCTATTTTTAGATAGTTTTGGGGGCTTAAGTGCATTGCATAAAGAAGGGGCACTACACTTTTACATTAGTCATTTACTTGAGTTTAGCTATGTACTTAAAAAGTCACCAAGCTCCAAAGTGGAGGACTCAGTTCCCACCATTTTCAACATCGCAGTTACTCCTTTTTATTTTTGAACTACTGTATCTTACTGGGAAATGATTTGGAAAACTAAATTAGGAAAACAGATTTAAATTACACATGCTCTCTTCTGGGGGTAAGAAACATGACTGTTAAAAATTATATACCTATTTAAGAAGGTATTTTTATACAAGAAGACTTATCTAGTATTACTTGGGTCCTTCAGGGCTGGAGGATGAAGAGGGGCTCAAGGCAGTGGGCTGAGAGTGTGTAGGTGTCAAGGTTGGGGTGAGGAGAGGCTCAAAGCAGGACTTGGAGGGCACAGGAGTCAGAACAGGGGGTTGGGAGAAGTGGGGGGCTCAAAGGATGGGGAGCAGATGGGGAGGCTGCTCCCCTCAAGAGTGGTGGGGGCCACATGCATCACCCCTGGCTGCTCTCCTGAGCTAAGGTGCTTGCTGCCCCCCACCCATAGTCATTCTGGGGTATAACTGTCCTTCATGCTTGCTGTCCCCTGGCCATTTGTGAGTATAACTGTCCCTGCTCTCACATCCCTCTATTTCCGTTGGATGAGAAACAATCGCATTCCACTCACAACCCATTGTTCTAGCACCACCAAATTTGGACTTTGTTTTAAATTATGATAAGAAAGAAGCTGCATACCAAATTGGTGGTCCTACTTTTTACTGTTTAGGAGGTGTTCTTGAACAAATGGACTCAGATGGACAGACAGAAAGACACACAAACGCTCTCAAATATATAGTAGATGTTGAAAAATCAAAGCCACTAAAATAAGTGGTTCTGCTTTACGTTCTAAACTGCAGCACCCTCTAGTGACATACATTTTGATAATGTACAAGCACCATTTTTATAAAAGGGTGTTGGTGTAAACTAACTTTAGAACACACACACTTAAGAACTTAAAGATCAGAAATTAACATGCTGTAAAAAACTAGGTATATGAGTGGCTGGAAAGTTACAAAACAAGCCTTTGACATCAGATGCTCTCTGTGCATGTGGATCAGTCTCAGATAATGCTAGTGAAGCTACAGAACAGGACTTCTTGTTGTTTTTGCAGATTCAGACTAACATAGCTACCCCTCTGATTCACATTACTTAGGCTTATCACCAATACATTTTTTACAGTAAATGTAAGGTAATCATGATGTCTGGGCTGTCAACCTGAAAAGATTGTGAAACTGCTTTACAAGACTGAAGGCTTAAGGAAACTGCCTAATCTAGAAAAATTAAGGGTCTGAATTTCAGATGTACTCAGCACCTGCAGTCTCTACTGCAGGGCTACGCAACACACAGCCTGTGGGCTGCATGAGACCTGTGGCCTATTTGTTTGCAGCCCGTGGGGCGGTTTGGGCTTATGCAGGGCTCAACATGTGGCCTGGGGATGGGATCTTTTGAACATGGCCTCCACTGGGAACATGCTCCCCAACAGCGAGTCAATATAATGTTCTTCTGTTGATGCGTGTTTTAGTAGTGAAATTCCTGCACTGTCATTGCTCATTAAAAGTGCTGTCATATGGGTGGAAATCAGGTAAATATTGCATTTTATTAATATCAGGAGAACTGACTTAAATGGGCCTACGTGTTGCATTAATTTTTGTATTCATGCCCATCAGTGTGAAAGAAGCTAATTGCATATATATTTGCATGTACATGCAACTACGCTTAAGTTGCGGCCCTTGGCATGTGCTGTGAGTATCTTTGTGGCCCACGGGGCTTCTAAAGTTAAGTAGCCCTGCTCTACACCCTTAAAATGGAACTGTCAGTACTCAGCACCACGGGTAAACAGACACTGGTAAATTGAGTAAAGGTGATCCAATTCTGCTGCAGTGCTTAGTGTACCAAAGAATACTTCAAGGGAGGCTAATTAAGCTCTGGACCACCCTATGCAGGAAAATAAACAAACTAGAATGCTCAAACTAGAATGGACAGCACTTAACCACAAATCATGGCCCACAATCATGCCAAAGTAAGTGTGGTTTCCTTTAAGAAAGCCCACCAAATTAAAATAAAAATTATTAATAGCATGAATTTTGTGTAAAGATTTTGCCTTCTAAAGTACTATTTATGCAGGAATGTTATTTTAAAAATTATATATATTTTCTAAAAATCTTTGATCATTATGGACAGTAGAAGTTTTAATGGGCTGTAATAAAATATGTTGAACTGACTGCTGCTTCTGAAGGCTTGCTTTACTTTTACACGGCGTGAGAAAACATGGGAAGACTTCCAAAGTAATATTATTAGCAACAGTTTAAGTGGCATAATTATAGAAAAATATATTTGATCAACAAGGGAAAGTCAAGATAAGGGAAAATGCTGCATTTAAAAAGAGGAAAGAGAATTTGTAAACGGATGGGCATGTCTCAGTCGCATACCTCCTTTCTTAAGGTTTTTAAAGCCAAAGATTCAGGAAAAAAAAGATACATATCTAATATATGATAGAAGAAGAAGTCAGAAATACTAAGATAAGCTTAAAGTTACTGGTCCTTTGTCCTCCAGCCCTCCATGGTACTTAGAAACAATAAGTATTTTATATATAAATAAGTGCTTACAAGGGGTTCCATGGTACTTAGAAACAATAAGTATTTTCTACATAAATAAGTGTTTACAAGGGGGAAGAAGAAAAATTGTTCTCCTTGTCCTCTGATGATAGGACAAGAAGCAATGGGTTTAAATTGCAGTAAGGGAGGTTTAGGTTGGACATTAGGAAAACTTCCTGTAAGGGTGGTTAAACACTGGAATAAACTGCCTAGGAAGATTGTGGAATCTCCATCTCTGGAGAGATTTAAAGCAGGTTGGATAGATCTTTATGAGGAATCATCTAGACAGTCTTTGGTCCAGCTGTGAGGGAAGGGAACTGGATTCAATGACCTACCTACACCTACACACACACACACACACTCTGTCACATTCAAAATGCCTTATTATAGCAACAAATCTCTTCTTGATCATTTTAATTATTACTTGTAACTTGACAGACAGCAGAAATCTATTAGGCCTTGGGACAACAAATCTTTTTTTTTTTTTTTGCTTATGTAAACCAAGATTATGAAAGCTGCATTTTCTGTGTTTATACTGTGAAGACAAACTTTATCTCCGGCATCTCACTATAGCATCTGATATGTTAAGACTTTTCTATTCAATAAATTGTTGATTCTTGGCACTGTTCCTCAGAAAACATGACCAGTTTATAGCTTCAAGTACAGAGAAGCTGCCATACTAAAAGAACAGCCTGAGAATACTCAGGCAGTAATTATAATTAAAGCTTTCATTTTTCAGAGTGATAATTGCTAAAACATTTTTGATGGATAAATGTGTTTTTTGAAGAAGTGGTAAGCAAGAACTTAATATGCGTCACTCCACATGTGCAAAAACTGTAACAAATTGCTCCACAAACAAAAATTATTGCAATCAACATCTTGTTTTTCTGATTCTAAATTTATGAGTCTGGCTATTAAGACTACATTGGTAACACATGCAGTTATCACCCTAGCAATTAAACTTTGATTCCACCAAAAGTAGTTTCCAGCTGGACTAAGCCAAAAAAAGTTAAAAAAAAAAGTTAAAGGAACCACTGGGAAGAGTTGTTTGCACTGTTGGTTCCAGGATATCACAAATACAAAGTGGGTGGGGTAATATCTTTTATACAGCCAACTTCTGTAGGTGACAAAAGGAAGCTTTCAAACTTACACAGATCTCTTCTTCAGATCTGGGAAATGAAGAAGAGCGCCAACTTCTGTAGGTGACAAAAGGAAGCTTTCAAACTTCTGAAGAAGAGATCTGTGTAAGTTCAAACGCTTGTCTGTTACCAATATATATTACCTCACCCACCTTGTCTCCCAACGTCAAGAGTCAGAGGTCCAGATTATAACATCCTACAAAATAATAGTTGAATTGAAACATGAAATTCCTCCTGATCCTGAAAAATCTGCCACTCCCACACAGAAAAACTTGAAAAATAGACAGAGAAAAACTGCTGGGTTGGAATTCATATGCAAATTTGACACACTGAACCAAGGTCTAATCTAAACAAACACATGGATTGTTGTTATACCTTGGGATGCAAGCAAACTCCCTGGTCCTTCAAGGAAGGAAAAGGCAAGCTGATAGCATACTTATCTCACATTGCAATAGGTAATTTCCCAATCAGATATTCTCGCCTTCTCACCACTGTTGGAGACGCATTACATCCATTCTGATTTTGATCTTTTTCTCTTCAGCATCCGAGGAAGTGAGTCGTAGCTAAGCTTAGACTCTAATTTGTTAGTCTTTAAAAGTGCCACCAGACTGTCTAATACTCCTAAAACTAGTATGGTTTAAAAAGCAATTGTGTTCCAGATACTTCTTGGTGTCAGCCGCCAGAGAGTACACAGTTTTTTTTTTTTTACAGGTATCTCTCAGATGTAGGCAGAATAGATCATTGAAGGGTAGCACATGAGGACCATACAATTAATTGGTAGTCCATTGGTCATCATATTTACTGTGAAATGTACATACACCGATAATATTTAAGGAGTTGTGTGTCTATACTAAAAATTATGTTCTTGAGGTCTTAAAGCCAGGTCACCTCTATACTAAAAATTATGTTCTTGAGGTCTTGACTTAAAGCCAGGTCACTATGAGATGACATAACCTCAGAAAGGTTTCATTCAGGCAGGAGATAATATACACCTGTGTTCCTGCCTGGTCTTCTGTGCATGCCCCAGAATGGATGCCTATTTGCTTACAGAGCCACAGCTAAGAGATTGCAAAATCTACAAAAAAGGAAACCCCAAGGATTAAACAAAAACCTGGACGTAGTATGTATATGCACGCTCTGGTTTAGGAATAAATATAAAAGACTGTTCTTTTACACCTTGGGATGCAAGCAAACTCCCTGGTCCTTCACATGAAAAACAAGCTGACAGCATGCTTATCTCGTGCATGGTGGATCATAGCCAGCCTAGCTGCAAATCACTGCAAGGATTTTTGGATTAACAGAATTTACACTTAAGAATATCTTGTTAATTAAGTTGAGGGGCTAGCATGTGTGTTTGGATTTTATTTTATATGTAACCATTTTTGTTGCTAATACATCTCCATGCTTTGTTAAAGAAATTTATCCTTGATTTCACTGTAAATATATCTAAGAGCTTCACGTTAAGCAGAACAGCAATCTGAGGTGGAATTGGTAAATTGGGATGTACTATTTCTTTGGAAGACGCAAACTCATGAACACTGTAAACATCCAGTTCACCAAGGGTTGGTCACTCCAGTGAGATGACTGAAGGGCTAGAGGATTGGGCACTGTAAGCATCCAGTTCACCAAGGGTTGGTCACTCTAGTGAGATGACTGAAGAGCTAGCGGATTGGATGTGCCAATTGCTACCTGTAGAATAACAGCAGATCTTGCAAGGCTTAGAGGACAGTACTTGTGCTGTACATCACCAGTGGAATTGGGGAGCTGATCTCCTAAAATGCATAGATGAGACAAATGGTAGCAAGGAACCTTAAAGCCCAGGGCATCACCATACCACAGAGTTGCCTAAGCAGTGAATTGACCTTGTTTTCACACACCTACCTAGATTAATTTTAGATAGGGAATTTTTAGGTGGCGAAGGTCAAATTTGGGGCTTTCAGGTTTTTAATTACAAAACCAAATTAAAGTTAACTTTCAAATTTGTGGCATTCAGTCTCTGCTCCACTGTGCAGGTAGCTATCAGAATAAAGGAATATAAGGAGTGTGTTAAGGTATTCATGTAGCAATAAGCTAATTGGTAGAAAGCACAGACCATCACTGAAGGATAGGGTTGCCAGGTGTCCAGTTTTGAACCGGATAGTCCAGTATTTGAGCTTTCTGTTTGGGAAACAAATTGAGAAAATATATAGGAGAAAATATTTTCTAAATAAGATGTAATATAGATTGTGATGTAATGTCAAGTGTGTCCGATATTTTTGTTGAAGCCATCTGGCAACCGTATAAAGGAATCAAAATGAAAACTGGAAAGATGTTCTTTTTTATTTTTTATTTGTATAAACAGGAGTATATTTAATAAAGAATAGTTTACAGTTATGAGGTTGCATGTTATACAGCATTTCTGACTAAAATAGTATATTATATAAATAACAGGGGGCTAAGCCCACTGCTCGCTTCACTTGTCAGCCCCCTCTCTCGGACTGCTTTTGCAGCCAGAGAGCATGAGAGCATGAAGACATCATTTTGTTGCCCAGCAGGAAAAACTTTTAAAAATATAGAGAGAGATAATGGAGCTCCATTATATCAGTATCTTTCTTTTAACGTATGATCTGAGTTTTCTGTAACCAATTTTTTTTGCACAAAAACAGAGAGAAGTCTTACCATTGTCCTGCTTTAAAAGTAAAATCCTTATTTGAGACAGCCAAGCGAAGCCTTTTAACTGTTTCAGATTCATTGGTAATGCCACACACTTTTGCTGGAGAAATAACCTAGAGAATGGAGAATGATCATTATATTACACTGGTGTAATTTTCAGCAAATGTGCTTGAGGCCCTCCATGGAAATTATTCATCATTACCTACAGAATTTCATAACTTACAACATTAACAGGCATCCACCACAGTGGGAAAATAATTTTAAAAAACCCAGAAACCACACCTCCTTGAATCTATACAAGATGGAACTATTCATGTGCTTGTTAAATGGGATCTTCAGTAATCTTTGGTGAAATTGGAGCAACCATTAGCGGTTCCCAAATTTTTTCTGTGTGAGATAGGAAACTTCACACTAGAACCGAAGAAATTCTGTGCTCTGATAACCCTGCCCAACTGCACCTACACAGTATGCTCTAGATGGAAGTGGAGCTTAAAAGGAAGCCAAACAGCCAGTCATCTCAAGAAGTGGGCTGTGCCCACGAAAGCTCATGATACCATCTACATATTTTGTTAGTCTTTGAAGTGCTACCAGACTATTTATTGTTTAAGTTCAGAAGGGGTTTTACAAGACAGGGAAAAGGCCTTCTGAAGAAGGGTGCTGCAGAAGCTAACTCCTAGGCTATGTCTACTCTGGCGGGTTATTGCGCAACAATGGCCGTTCTTCCACAGAGCGTCCACACTGCCCACCTGCTCTTGCGCAAGAAGATTTACAGTAAAGCGTGGTAGGAGAGGGCTTCTTGTACAAGATCTACGCTCTTTTCTAACAAGTGTAAGCTCTCTTGCGCAAGAGCTCTTGTACAAGAGGGCAGTGTGGACGCATGGCAGGGGTTTCTTGCACAAGAAAGCCCTATGGTTAAAATGGCCATCAGAGCTTTCTTGCACAAAAAGCACATCTTGCACATGGCAGTGTGGACGTATTATTGCACAAGAATTCTTGCACAATAACCCTTGCACAAGATGTTTTTGCGCAAGAAGCCGCTGGTGTAGACATAGCCTTAGAGACGATAAGTCTATGAGCTGAACTCGGACAAACTAAAGGCACAGTTAAGTATCAGAGGAGTAGCCGTGTTAGTCTGAATTTGCAAAAGCGGCGAGGAGTCCTGTGGCACCTTATAGACTAACAGAAAGTAGTTGTATCTGTTAGTAGTAGTAAAGGCACAGTTAGTATATTTTTCTATTACTTTTTTAATAACAAAGATCAAAACCTAGATAACAGAGTGGGTAGCAGAAAGCATCGCAGTAAGGGCAGCCTTAAAGTGGCTCCTGGGTGCTAAACCCTCACAAGCATGATGGAGTGGGATGGTCTGGGCTCCCCTATCATTTCCCTCTACAATAAGAACAACTAAGTAATGCTTCCAAAAACCACTGACCATCACACTCTACGCGGCACCATTTTCAAATGTACTGCTGTCCATGACTCCAGACAGCATGAAGAACACAGTGTGAAGGTGACATTTTGTGCTATAAAATGGCATTCTGCACCCAACCTGTCCTTGCACAAAAGGTACATGCGAAGTCATGCTGTGTGAAGAATGCCATTTTGTTTGGAAACTGCTGGGTAACCCTCTAATTATGTAAAATTGTTTCACTAACAAAATCAGAAATATACTTAAAATCAGTTCAGAATGGTATATTTGAAGGAGGGATCTCTCAATGGAAGCCATGAGGTTGTTCATAGAATAAACATTTTCTCTTCAGTCTAGTAAATTTAACAAATACAATGTGATCTTTACATCTTGCTTGTTCTCAATTCCTTACCTATAATCCTTCCTCCCCTCAGTTTAACTTTTAGTTTAACAATATGAGGCAGTAAAACTTAGCTTCTCTGTTTCAAATAGGCACTAAGCACACAGGAAAACAGAGCCCTTTACCATGTCAAGATGAGCACACAGAATGACTAGTCACTTTATAAAACACTGGCCCAGCTATGTAAAAATATTTTGATCAAAGCCAAGTAAAACGTAGTTTATTTTTGGTTCTGAGGATAGAAAATCTTCACAGAGAAAATGTTGACAAAGTCAACCTTTAAAACAGAGGTTCTCAAAGTGGGGTCCACAGTAGGGATGTAAAATTTCGATTAATTAGCTAATCAAATAGTTGATGCAATTTGCATCGACTATTCGATTAGTCAATAAGAATGCCTCCACCTCTGAAGTGCAACAACAGCCCCGAGGCTGTTGCTACACTTCAAAGTGAAAGCACTGTGGGGAGCATGGGAGCTGCTTGAGTCCCCTGCCAGCCCCGGGCTCCCCGCAGTGTTTCAAAGTGGCAGTACTGCATGGAGGCTGGGGTCTGGTTGCTTTTGTGAGCCCCCCCCCCCTTCTCCCCTTTCCCCCCCGCCACTTGCTGCCTCTTTCTGATAGAGGCAGCAAGGGGAAGGGTCGGAGGGGCTAGTCGACTAGTCATTCACATTCCTAGTCCACAGACCATGCTTTGCAGGTGGTCTGCAGCTCAAGCTAACCCCTCTTCTTCCTCCTGCAGTGGGGAGCCTGCACTGGTGCTCCATCCTTGTGACCCCTCCTGGTTCCTGCTGGGGGATGGGAGGCGAAAACTCAGAGCTGCACAATCCGGCTTGTGAGGAAGAAGCGGCTCCTTGTGCTGTTGCTCCACTCCCCTTCCCCTCCCCTTCCCCAGATTCTGGTCAGTGGGAAGCCGTGTTACAGTGTGCCTGGAAGCATCAGGGGATGCAAAGGCAGGTAAGTGCCCCCCCTTGCCTCTATATATTCAAACTCTCATCTATATCTGGTTCTGGCAGAAACTAACCTCATTCTAGGGTTATGTATTTATACTTTAGCTGCCCCAGTACCTCCTAAAATTAAAGATTTCTTCAAACAACCAAAAATCTAAGATATTTACCATTTGGGAAAGAGGTTTTATCCCATCATGAGATAAATGGCTGAACACTTAAGGAATTTATTATAAATAATGAACTTCCATGTTTTGAATAGCCCACTTGTGACATAATTCCATTTTGCCCAAGGCCTAATATGTCACTGAAAATGGAGGAAAACTTTTATACATGCATATGTTTCTTGCTAGCAGGAAATGAAGACTCTGGTTGTCAGTGGGAAACCTCAGACCCATACTTTTGGCTTACTAAATATTACAGCTATAAAACTAACAACAAGAATTATGAAGAATATATTAAACAAAAGACCAAATTGTACAATGAACCCTGTTGACTTCAATTGGCCAGGGTCCATGCAAGTTGATCCTGATGCAAGATCATAAATGCTTTCTCCACAAATACACTCTTCCAAATTCTGCCCTCAGTTACATTCATGCAACAACTTGACCTTCAACAGGGCTGCAAGGATGCAATTTATAAGAGCATTTGGCCTACTATGAAACAGATTTATACTTACTGTGAAGAATACATCTATCATATTAAAATGTTAAATATTTCAGAGATACAAACTGAGACTGTCAGCAATTCTTGTTTTACAACAGCTAACTTGCATGATACCTGTCCATCCTCCTTCCTCACCAATTGCCAACCCTCAACTTTTAGTTATTGTTGAAAATTCAGCAAAACACAATTACTATAACTATTTTTGTAAATATACCAGTCTAAGTTTTATGCTATAAAGCATTTTAAAATGTTTGATGCCATCTACTTATATTAACTCTCCCAGTCTGATATTTTCTACAACACATGATTGTGCCATTTCTCATCTGTACAAGATCAAAGAGCTCTAACAAATGAAACTTTAACCAGCTTTGTTCTAATTTGTAACACATGGCAGGAAATTATTTTCTCCATAAAACAACATTTGAACATGTCTACTGTCCAGTAAAACAGAAACTTGTCAACTTAAAGTTAAGAGTAGTGTACTTTTCTTTTCCACTTTAATAGACAATATTAAACAGGAAATGCAGTCATACTGGTTAACAAGACAAGTGACAGTAAGCTATCTAATTGTTTCTCTTGATGTGCAGGAAATGTGCATATAGTTTAGACATCCCCTCCCCCACCACCATCCCAAAGTGGTTTTTTGACCTGAATTTTTGACAAAACACTCGAATTTTAATTACTACTCAGTGGAAAGTTAGTTTTCTGCATAAAGTTTGATATAGAGTGATCAAGGACCTTCAAAGAAGATTCTGACCAACCATAAGAGTAACCATATGGCTCAGATCAATATTTGGAACAAGTTTAAAAAAAAAAAAAAGATGGAGTCTTTTAATCTGGATTTCACTGTAGAAGGCCCACATTTCAGCCCCTCTTTCCTGCCTTTGTTAATTATACTACATCCTTGAGCATGTGATATGGTTAGTCTACTCGGCCACATTACTGAAACAGAAATATCGTCCACTATTTTTTCCAAAGGATTACAAAAACAAGGCAAGGTAATGTGGAGAAGAGGGAAACTAATTACATAGGATTTAAACTACAGTCCAAGTCTAAAGAATTTAGACCGATCAATTTCTAACTGGACACAAATAAAGTGAAAATGTGTAACAATTAAGAATAAAATAACGGGAAAAATAATGTAAGTTCCCAGATGTTCCAGAAAACTGAGGTAGCAGCACTGCACTCTCCTTCTTTTACTTGACCTGAATAGCTTTCTATAGCCTCTGCAAGCTACTCAATCCCTATTAAGGACGTGAACAAGTGATGCTTAGCAGGTAATAGTTAATTGGTAGCCCAGGAGTAGCCCCTGCTGCAGGCAGAGGGTGGTTCCAGCTCTGCCCAGCCCCTAGGCAGAACCAGGAGCCAGCAGTCCAGCCTGGCATCACACTTTGTCAGTTAACAAGTTACACGTTGGGTTAACTAATTAACAGATTAATTGGGATTTTACATCCCTAATTCCTATCCCTTAATATCCTTCCACTTCCCAGCCACAATGAAATTCAAAAGATGTACAATCACTTTATTACTGAAATCTTGTTAAAGGAGAAAGCATGTTATTTATATTCAGAATACTTACAACTCCTGTTAACTTATTTAAACTAATTCATTACAAAGAGAAGAAAGAAATTATATGCTAAAGATGCAGCACTTTCACCCCTTAAATCAAAGAGCAGGGAAGTTCACAATACGTACTGGATACCTCTAGCAGATGGTCTCTGGTTTTGATGAAGGACAAGACTTGACATTCCTTATATTTGTAACCTAACACAAGCAAAGAAAAATCCTCTTTTAAAAAACCAGTTTCCCTGACCAAATGAAATCTGACCTTTTCAGACCATCTTTGTACATAAAATAAAAAAGGCATGGAGTTATTTTTCTTTTGTAGGCAATCTTTAAAACACTAGAAAAATAAAATAAAAAACAAGGAAAATGCCATGATGGTATTATTTATATGATTCCTTAAAAGCCTACAAATCAGCGATGGTAATACAATTAATAAATACCTAAGATTCATGAACTAGAGAACAATCTAAACTGAACTAGACTACTAATTCCCGATAAAACATGTTGAAAAAGAATGACAGCCATTCATCCTTTTATTTCACTCATCCAAAAGAAAACTAACCATCCTTTCACAACAGAGTCTTCGGAATATAAATGCAAAAATGAAAAAATGACAAAAGACACAAAATCTCATATAGAAAAGAAAGAAACCTAATCACCACCAAACAGGATTATCCATTCTCTTCACAACACAAAGAAAAACATTTTAGTTCTGTAGGACAGAACACTAACCTCCTGTCGAAAGTTATTTGCTGTTCTCTCCAGATGATCAGTTTTCTTTTTGGATTTCATTGTGCTTCAACAAAAAGCAAATCAAGATTAACATCATTACTGCAATTGCAAAGAATTAGTGCTTTGCTTAATGGTAACAATTTCTACTGACAAGACAATTTAATCACTTTAATCGGTCTGCCATTCTAGACCACGTTAATTTAAACAAAAATTAAATGAAGACAGACACTCATCTCACCTCATATTTAATCTCAGAATGCTAATACTAGATCTGGTTGGGAATTTTTCAACAGAAAATACTGGTTTGCCAAAAACAGAAGTGTTCATAAAACATTCATTTTGACAAAACATTCACTACACAACTTTACCTAGTCCAGGTTACAAATTCTGGTAAAAAAAAAAAAAAAAAACCCAGAGAAAGAGAAAGAACACTTCCCCCCTCTCCTCCGCCCCACAACAATAGCCAAGCCTGGGAAATGGGTCGCTCATCAGTGATTTGGGTAAATACAGTGGCTCTCAATCTTCCCAGAGTTACTATACCCCCTTTAAGGAGACTGAATTGTTTCAACTCACTTCAAAAACTACTTGCTTAGAAAAATCAGACATAAGTGTCACAGCACACACTATTGCTGAAAAATTACTCACTTTTTCATTTTGACCATATAATTATAACAAATAAACTGGAATATAAATATTATACTTACATGTCAGAGTATAGCAAATAGAGCAGAATAAACAAGTCAATGTATGAAATTTTAATTTGACTGACTTACACTGTTTTTAATCTAACTTGTTGTAAAACTAGGCAAAAACCCTGAGAACCCCTAATGGGTATGTGTATCTCTGGTTGGGAACCAATGGACTGTAGAAATTCTCCCCCCGTCAATATACAGCTGGTCCCCGAGTTATGAACGCATCGACTTATGACCGTTTGTTTTTACGGCCAGCCTCCTATACAGCCAGAACCCGAGTTACGAACGAAATCTGCACTTACGAACAGCACGGCCGTATGTAAGTGAATGTAATCCAATTTACGAACAGATCAAGTTACGACCCACTGTTTGGTAGAGATAGACAGAGAAAGACTAACTCTATAGCCAGGTAGCATGGGTTCTCATCTGAGTCAGGCAGAGCAGGGACTTAGGGTTTCAGTAACTGCCCTAAGCATTAGTTACGTGATGTCTAACCAGTTCTGAAGCAGTAGCCACTATAGTGGTTACTGCTATAGCAAACTAGCCACACTCAACTGGCCAAATTGCCATATGTGGCTAGTGGCTAGTTTGTTGGGCACCGCAGGACTAGGCTATTCCGGTGATCCTCTCTAATGTTTTATCACAGAAATTGTTGAAAGATTTCATTCTAGTGTTGAACCATTTCAAAGATCAATTAGAACATCTCAACATCTTTTGTAAATCTAATTCTTATTTGCCACTCTGCCATACTTACTACTGTCTTTAAAAACATAACCAGATGATTGGTAGAATATTTCTATAGTTCTTTAACATTTGTTCAGTTTCTGACACTCATTACATTTCTCACAAACTTTTTAAAAGCAATATATTTAGTCATGTTTGCAAACTGATAACCTACCCATTCATTGTGCAGTAACACAAAGCAGAGTACTTCAACCGTAACAATGCAGGAGGAGTGGGGAAAATTCGAGCAGTACCTCTCAGTAATTGAGGAATAGCAGTGTGGGCCATGGTGTTCCCTGCTCAATGTCCCCAGCTCCTAAAAATTAAATTTAAAAGAATTATTCAACGACTTCTTACTGTTAAACTGGACTGCTTTAATTTGTAAATCAACAGGCATCAGGTTGGAACAGAGTTCAAATCCTTCAATATACAGAACATCTCTCCTTTATCCTAAACTACAAAACAGGAGTGGGGAATTTTCAGCATGCTGACTGGATGCAGTTCACCAAGGTTTGCCAGGCCATGCAACTGCTTCCCAGAGCTCTCACTGGTCAGGAACAGCAAGCCACAGCCAGTGGGAAATGTGAGTGGTCGTGCGTATGGATGTTCAGAAAAACAAACCTTCTGACATCCCACCAGGGGCTAACCCTGACAAACAATATCTGGCCCACAGACAAGAAGTTCCCAACCCCGCCTATAAAACATAGCTATTTTTGATTATATATTGTATCTATATCAAGTACTAGTTGACATTAGCTATCGCTCTTCATGTCAAATGAAATGACAATTTTCCCAAAAAGTTAGAACTGACAAAAAGAAGTGAAAAGAAAATAAGACATGTATTTTATGCATATATTCTACAGTTGAAGGGATTTCTACCTAAATTTGCAAAGACTTAGAAGAACAATATTTGTGGCTGGTTGTGGGACTTGATTTAAATTGCATAGAGAAGACTAAACTAGGTGGGTTCTTTTCAATACCTATTACAACAGCAGGTAACCCTATTATTGGCAAATAACTGTAACATCATGTGACAACATCACAATAGCAAGAACGCCGACTACATTTTAAAAAAAGACAACTGTAAACAAGATAGCAATAATATCTATATTTTTTACATAATCTACAAAATTATAGAACAAGTATTGATTCTTTTCAGCAACACTTTTTGTTTAATCCTCCCTATTCTTAAAAACCAGTTCTACTTACTATCATAGTGACATCTGCTGGCTTAACTTCAGAATCATCTGAAGAACTGGGTTGTACCCACAAAAGCTCAGGATACCATCTACATGTTTTGTTATTCTTTAAAGTGATGCTAGACTATTAGTTGTTTACGTTTTTTCAGAATCCCAATGCAACTTGGGGATTAACTTTCCTGGTTTATTTCAAACAATCTCAGTGGGGTAGCTGTGTTAGTCTGTAACTTCAAAAATAATGAGTAGTCCTGTGACACCTGAAATACTAACAAAAATATAGTTGCTCATCATCTGATTAAGTGGATTTTGCCCGTGAAAACTCATGATATTATATATTTTTGTTGGTCTCTAACGTGCCGCAGGGACTACTTGCTGTTTTAAACAGTTGTTCTGAATGTGTTTGCTTCCTTCAGTAGCTTGATAAAGTTGAAGCTAACCTTCTTTCCATTTTTCTTTGACAGTGCCATTTCCTTCAGGAGGGGAGTGGTTTTTAATCTTTAAATTAAGACTTTAAAAATGGGGGAAGATGAGACAAAAATATGAGCTGAATAGTAAAAATTATAATACTAGACACAAGAAAGACTGAGTTTTACTGTAAGAGTTGCAATACTCAAGTCAGGGCAAGAATGTTTTGCTTAATGCACAATAGTCACCGAAAGACTAAGGACAACTGTACTCAAGTAGCTGCATTACTATAAGATCACTTGTGTGGCCATTGCACGACATCAACGGGAAGAGAGCTCTCCCTTCAACATAATAAAACCACCTCAATGAAAGCTCTCCCACCAACACAGCTACCACTGCATACTACCACTTATGCTGGCAAAACATGTCACTCAGAGTTTTGGTTTTTTTCCATACCTCTGAATAACAAAAGTTTTGCCAGCTTTATTGACAATGTAAACACGAAGTTAGGGATTGTCTACTCTTACAGCACAGCTGTAAGCATCTTCATGAAGCACATCTACACTGACAGGAAAGCTCCTTCTATCAGCACAGGTACTTCCCGAAGAAGCAGTAGCTATGCTCTCTCACTGACATAGTGCTGTCTACACTTGATGCTGGGAGAGTATAACTGCATGGCTCTGGGATGTGGATTTTCCACACCTGTGAGCAAAATAGTTATGGTGACATAAGGAGGTTGTTTAGACCAGGACTAAGCCTACGAGTTAGTGAAAAAATCCACTAAGCATGCTCCCTCAAAGCTATTCCTATATAACTTAGAGCCATATAATCACTTCCTCCCTCAACAAATTCAATCCTAACACACCACTCTATAATTAATAAATTCCAAGCTCTCCTATAAAAGAATTCTGAATTCCTTCTCCCTAAGTTAATGAATTACGTACTATCCCACACTCCCCCTACAAAATGACTTCTGGATATTTTCCCCTTCTCATTAATTAATTAAGGACAATCACTCCCACTTATTAATAAACTCTAGGCCCTCTCTCTTTGCAAAGCATGTTCTTAAACAGGTTATGAAATTATTTGATAATAAATACTGTGTAACATACATTATTTGGGAGCTACTGCCCTTCTATATGTGCATGAAGGCTTTTATTTGCCTAGCTCCTCTTCATGTGAAGTGTTCCATTCCTTATTCCCATTTCCTCCTCTCTCCAAGAAAAGCAGCAGCAATTCCAGTCACTTTACTCAAGAGATGTTCTGCTCCTGGTCTGTACCTAAGGCTAAAATTCTTTGACTGTGGTAAGAATGTTCTTTCCAACTGGTACTTAAATTTCTCCAAGATAAAAAGCCGCTTTAGAAAATAACCATAAAATATGTTTGCAGACTGCACTATTGTAAATTTCAATCCATTCATGTTGTAATCCATTAATGAACCATAAGCAGGCAAAAAGGCAGCAGTACAGAGACAAAAAATACAATACTGTTAAATGTAAACTACTAAAAAAGGAAGTTTAAAAAAACTGACATGGCAAGGGAACTGTTTCTGTGCTTGTTCCATTTAAAATAAGATAGTTAAAAACAATATTTTTTCTATAAAGTTTCAATGCCATATTATGTTGATGTTCAGTTATGAACTTTTGAAAGAACTGTAACCTTCTGTTCAGTTTGAACATTTCAGAGTTATATACAGCCTCCGTTAGTGAGGTGTCCATAACTGAAGTCAGGCCCTCTCAGAGGTCCAGAGAGGTCTAGGCCAATTCCAGCTTTTGAGGTCCCTAACCATGATAAAAATAAAAAATTATGACATTAACCCAGCACCAGCCACTAGTAGTAGGTTTGTTTATATAATCAGCTGATCTGAGAGACACATTCATCACAGTGTAATCTTGTGCCATCAGAACAGACATTTTATTAATATTTATGAACATTTTAACTCTTTAATATGACAATATATATCAGTTAACCACAAAAAAAATCATTTACCAAACTGCATCTATATTTATGAACATTTTAACTCTTTAATATAACAATATACATCAGTTAACCACAAAAAAAATCATCTACCAAACTTATTTGCTTAAGTTTGCAGCTCTAAACTGAGGAAGTGTGTCACATTTGGTCCACTAGGGGAGTGCATAAAAACAAGCTGTGAAACTTATCAAATACAAACAAACAAACAAGTGTCTATGCTACAGGCCCAGGCCAAATGGCTCTCCTGGCACTCCCTCTAATTGGTCCTTACTGAGGTCCTACTGCATCTACAAAAAGGCACTATGCTGTTAAGGGGGGGAGGAGGAGGGAAGAAACTAAAAGGAAAACCTTATAAAGATGTTATTGCTTCTATAGAAGACTCAGAATTGCAGACTTCATTTTGAAAGTATCCTAAAACTAGTTGTTGCTAGTGCTAAGGAGCACATGAAGTAGCAGGTGTGTGCTGTGTGTTTTTAACAGAAGAAGTGGGCTGTGCCCAGGAAAGCTCATGACACCATCTACATGTTTCCTTAGTCTATAAAGTGCTACCAGACCATTTGTTGTTGTTGTTGTTTTTTTTTGGGGGGGGGGGGATCCGCGCTGCTAGATGACATCTTAGCACCGCCTGGGAACATTTGCTCCCAGCGACTCAGCCCCACCCCCGTGATGTCACTTTTTGATCCGATATTGCCTTTGTCAGATCTCTGTCATGTTTGGCTGAAGCCCGAACCCCAGGAAACCTGAGGCCAGGGACCAACGTATCTCCACAGCCACCCCGCGGAATGCAGGCCAGAGACGCGGGCAGGGGCGCTGGGCACACAGAGCGCGCGTGGCCGCGCCAGGCTTCGGGGGAAGGGAGTAAAGTGCCGGGTCACTCCCCCCCCGGACACCGCCATCCGACCGGGCCCAGCCCCGTGGCCCCGCAGCGCTAGTGCCGGGCGCATCCCCCCGACCGGGAAAGGCGCAGAGGCGCCTCAACCGCCGCCCCCGGAAAACAAAAGGCGGGGCTGGGAACTTACTTGTCCGCGCGCCCGCTAAGTGACAGTTCAGCTCGCGCGCAGGGGCAACGCTCTCATTCTCCCCTACACGTGCTCCCAGCACCCCCGCTAGCCTATCGGTGCCGCATCCGCATCATGTGACGAGGGCGCGTGCGCCTACCGGGAAGCCAGCGTCATAATCACGTGAAAAAGGCCTCTCGCTGACAGGTACCCCCCACAAAGCCGCCCAAGTACCTAGGCGCCGGGGGAGAGGTGTGAAGCGCAAGCGCACTAGTGCCTGCCCTGTCAGGAGCTCTGCCCCAGGGCAAGCGAGAGGGAAAAACTAGCCGCTGGTACAGCCGCGCTGCTAGGTGACCAACACCTTCACCCACGGTTCTGAGGCAAGCAATGCTGCCTCCTCATTGGCGCCCCGCGGGCTGTGACACATAAGGCAGAGCCTATCAGAGAAACGTGCGGCGGCCTGCCGGAAAATGGATGACGGCGCACGAGCAGTGCGCTTCCGGCTTGACAGGCGATTGGCGCACACGGAAGAGCCGCGCCGGAAGTAGGCGGGTGACGTACTAGATGTGAGTCCAGGGGCAGGCAGGCTGGCGCATGCGCAGTTGAGAGCCGGCGGCGCGAAGTGACGATGTCGGTGTTCCACGATGAGGTGGAGATCGAGGACTTCGAGTACGACGAGGAGACCGAGACCTACAGCTACCCGTGCCCGTGCGGGGACCGCTTCCTCATCACCCGGGTGCGGAGCGCGCGCGCAGGGCCTGGCCTCTCCCGGCCGGTGCTGGGGAAACGCTACCAACGGCCGCCGGGGTCCGCCCCAGCCGGTCCGGGGAGCGGCCTGTGCTCGGCTGCGGCGCCTCACAGGCTGGGGGGTGAGCGCGTAACCTCACCGCCTGGTGCCGGCCGGGAAGGAGTAACCCGCGCCTGGGAGTAGCCCTCCCGCGGCCTGCCGGGAGCTGGCAGCAGCCCCACCCAGGGGCCACTGGGGCTGGGCTGGAGTAGTCCCCTCGTCCGTTCGCCGGTTAAATGTTGGGTAGAACTTGTGTTTAACCAGTTAATGGGTTAATCGGGATTTTGCGTGGGGGGCTGCTCGGGTTCCCCCGTAGCCGCGGAGGGAGACAGTTTGCAGCCGGCCGGAGTCAGTCTTACATCTGGCCAAGCTAAACAACCAGGTATTCTTGTAACTTGGGAAAGTGCCAGCAGAGTTACCCGCGGGGCTGTTGTACATAAAACTCACGGGGAAGGTTCTGTATGTCTTCTTAGCCTCTTTCCACTGCATCTTAGGCCACAGCGTCTGTGGTAAAAGAACCTTTGTACCAAACACACCAAAAATAGCATAAAGCGTTGTGAACAGGACTGGGATTGCTTGTGAATGCCTTTCAAACACCTGCTGTTAGGCTGAAAAATCTACCCTGGCTCTTTATCCAGCTGCCTCCTTGCAACCCTGTTATCGGTGTTACACACATTGAATTTGCACTTCTGTACTTTAGCATAAGTGAATGATTGTGTTGCCTCTGATTAATACTAGAAATGTTATGAGATGTGATTGCTGAAGGTACAAGCAATTATTCATGTTTTCACTATACCAACTAAGTAACAGCGTTACATACGTCTGCACAATGTTAACATAGGTACATGTACTAACCATAATAATATTTCAAAGTAAATCATTTAAAGGAGTTGATCATTCACGGAATGATACTTATAATCCACTGTAAATGTAGAAAAAGGCAGTCCAATTCCAGTAAAAATCAGAACAGGAGCTAAAATAATCTGAACTGCTGTGAGGCTGCATGCAGATATATGTATTCATATTGCATTCTTTTAAACACTAAAAACTTAATCATAATTTGTGGAGGAGACATATGGAAAAACTTTCACTCCTTTAGCAGATCAATACCTCCTATCCGCTAGGAAGATATGCCTTGTCTAAGCATTAGGATGTCTTCATTGTCCTTTTAAATACAAAATCTGGGGAGTGGGTGCTTAGTTGTACAGGTAGGACTTCCCTGGTCCAGCACCGTTGGGACCTGCGTGATCCCCAACCACAGAGTTTGCTGGAGCAGGGGAGATCAAGGCTCCCTTCCCAGCTGTTGACCCTGCTCTCCCATTGGCCCCACTGCCCCTCCATCTGGGGATGCACTTCCATCTGGGGATGAGGCTGTGCTCTAGGGATGTTAAGAGGTGAATAATTGATTAATCATGTAGCTGATACAAATTGTACACGATTAGTCAATAAGGGAAGGTGTGAGCTCAAGCTACCCCGGCTTCAGCTCTGCAGTTTAGACGTAGTAAGAGCTGGACACACAAACAGCCCAGCTCCTACTACATTTAAACTGAAGAGCTGCAGCGGGGCAGGTCCCAGACTGGCGCAAGCCAGGACAGCACCAGGACCACTGCAACACTGTATTTTAAATTGAGTAAGAGCTGGGTGGCTTTTACTACATTTAAAATGCAGAGGTGCGGGGTCCTGGAGCAGCATGAGCTGAGACTGCTCAGTTCTGATTTGCACTGGGTCCAGCAGCCCCAGTTCGTGGTAGCCCAAGCTGGATGTGGGCAGAGGCTGCTGCTGGAGTAGCCTCTGTCTGCGGTGAGCCTCATCCCACAATTGGCAGAGACTGCTTCATGGCAGACTCCCCTACTCCCTCCCCACTGTCTCTGATAGGTAGCAGCATGGGTGGAGGGCAGGGGGCACTGTGGAGACAGTGCTTGGGGCAACTGGCTTTTGAGCTGGCTCCCTCTAGCACCAGTTCCTGTTTCTCCTGCTTGCTGCTTCTGATACAGATGTGGGTGGAGGAGTGAGGGAGTACCAGATCCCGCTGCCTCCAGCCTGGCCTAAGCTGCACATCCTGCTGCCCCTAGCTCTGACAGAGCTGTGGTCCTCACTACACTGTGTCTGGGCTGCACTTCCGTGTGCTACGGACCCTGCTGCCTCAAGCCTGGCCAGGACTGCATTCCCCATTGTGCCGACTCAGCTGGGGCTGCACTCCCTGCTCTGCTCGCTTGGCCAGGGCTATGCTCCTGGGCACTGGTCCCACTGCCCACAACCTCCATGGGGCTGCAAGCCCCCAGCCTGCTTCCTGCCTGCTGGCCTGCTGCTGCAGGGCTGTGCTACCCATCACTAGCCCAGCCCTTGAACCTGGCTAGTCAGGGCTCTCGGGTCCAGCAATATTCATGGCCTGCCAGACCAGAGGGTCCTGGATTTTAGAGGTTTAACCTATGCTCTTTTGTGATGAGGGAGCAGCAACTCCCTCTTGTGGTGGTGTTTGGTGTGGGGATTCTAGAGGGGGATGGGGGGGTTGCTTTTTTTTTTTTTTTTTTTTTTTTGCAATTGATGCAATTGGTTCCTCTCCCCCATAGGGATGTTAAGTTGCGCTTAATCAGAGAATTGAGTAGTCAGCGGAATTTCTGGGCAGCTCTTACTCCATTTAAAAAGCAGAGGCACAGCCTGGGACTGCTTGTGCCCATCTCCCGCTGTGCCACTGCCTTCCCTGCCCCTTCCTTTCTCCCCCTCCTGTGTGGAGACAGTGCTTTAGGGAACTGGCTTTTAAGCCAGCTCCCACCAGCTCCTGCTCCCTCTTCTTGCTGCCTTTGGTAGAAGCAGCAAAGGGTGGAGAGCAACTATTCAAGTAGTGACTCAACTACCCAATAAGCATATGCGTATTGGGTAGTCGATTACTAGTTGCTTACTCCCCCATTCTATTCCAGAGCTTTCCTCTATCCCTATCTGGCAGTCACTCACTGTAGTTCTTGCACCCTGTCCTTGATTTTGCTCTTCAGCTATTCTCCTTCCCTTGCATCCAGCTGTTTAATCCGCCTGTGTAGTCAGTTTCCTCCTCTCCCCTCATGGATTCCTCCCATCTCTCCCCTCTAATTTGTTCCTGTTAGTCCTTGTGAACAGCAGGGTGTTGTAATCCCCTGTGAGGGCAGAATGAGGGTAACAGTTATTAGTGAGTGCTCTCACTGACATGAGCTTGCTCATAACAGCTAAGTAGCATATTGGGTAAATGGGGTGGAATGTAACCTTAAACCAGCAGTGCAGCATGGCTACAGAGAAATGACTGTGTACCTGGCTCTGTTGCAGGAGGATTTGGAAAATGGGGAGGATGTGGCCACCTGCCCCAGCTGCTCCTTGATTATAAGGGTGATCTATGACCAGGTGAGAATGGGGCCCAGCCTGGGGGTGAGTAGGAGCCTGGGGATGCAAGTATCTCCCTCTCTTCGTGGCTTTGTGGTAGTGGACAATACTATCATGAGGCAAGCGTCTGGCACATCTTTAAACTCTAATGTATTTAGAGTTTAGTGCTTTAACAACCTGATGGCTTCTCCAGAGGACTTCAGGCTCTGGCTAGCATCAGCTGTGACTGTAAAATACTTGTGAAGGTGTTGAACCTCCACACTAGTTTTAAAACATGTTAATTATGACATGTTGGTTGACACATTGTTCTAGTCTGGATGTGTTCTGAGCGAGGACATCTGACTGAAGGTATGCAGCTGCTACTGCTTGTTATAAATGGTTCATTCTGGTGGGTCACTTTTGCCAGAGAAACTGCACTCGGGCCCTGTCTAAACTAGGACATTTCTTACCTGTATTTCAACAACTATAAGGTTGCACTAGTACTGCTCACAATGTGTTAGTACAGATGGCTGCAGGTAGTCTTACCCTCATGTGCTTATTTCTGTTCCAGACGGTTATGTGATATACAATTGGTAGTGCCAACGGCCAGTTTTACATTTATGCTGCTGCCAGCTAATCGAGTAGTCGATGGAACTTCCATTGACTACTCAATTAGTCGATAAGGGGGAAACTGCAGAGCCACAGTGGGGTTAGCTCCCAGCCACTGGAGCTAACCCCACTGTGGCTCTGCCTTTTAAATGTATTAAGAGCTGCCCGGTCCCCTGCTATGCCTCCTTTAAGCCAGTTCCCCCCTAGCACTGGCTCCTGCCCCTTGCTGCCTCTCTCTGATAGAAGCAGCAAGGTGGTGGGGGAGCAGCTAGTTAAGTCACTGCTCAACTACCTGATATGTTCATCGGGTAGTTGACTAGTTGCTTACATCCCTACTGTAGATGCATCTTTTGGGGCTTTTTTTATAAAATAAAGGGGCACTCTAAGGATAAAGTTATATTTTGTAAATAAGTTGTATTCTGTTATGGTGTCACACTTCATTGCTCCAGCAGTCCGTCGACAGAGCTTTGAAGTTTGTAAAGATAATTAATGTCTAATGGTATATGCATATGTTCAAAATCCCAGTGTGAATAAACATTTCAATCTAGCAGAAACAATCTTATTTGCTGATTAGATCATGTCAAGGATCTCTCAGATAAATCAAATGTGACACTTCTATGTTACATACAGGGCTTAGTTGTTGTTCAACTATTTTTTGAATATTACAAATAAATTGTGAATTTTGGAAAAAATTCAATATGAATGTTTTTCCCCAATGCTCTCTTATCCCTGTACGTACCTTAAAAGAAACTCCTTTTTGATAGGATAGGTGAAATGAAGAATACATACAAATGTAACCAGCTTCCTATTATAAGAACAACCTTAAATGTAGCGCTTCTATAATCCAAATGAGCAATGATGTTAGCCAAATGACACGCCTGTTTAAACATACTTGTCTGTTGTCAGTAACTGCATATTTTTATATGGAAGTTTAATATTAGGCTTCTATTTCATCATCTATGCCTATAATAAATTTGTTTTTCCATATGACAAAATTAGCTTACTTTGTACTGTTCGTTGGGGGCAGCAGTGGAAATCAGTTATATCAGTTTTTTTTTTTGTTTTCTTTTGTTTTTCAGGAACAGTTTGTGTGTGGTGAAGTAGTCTCAGCACCTACAAGCAAGGAGTTGGTTAAATGCTGACGAATGCAATATAGACTCTGTTCTTCTATAACAGAAAAAAATATGCGATGTCAATGTGGAAAAGACTCACAAAGTTCTATACTTCTAGAGATATTTGCTCCTCGGATACCAATGCAGTGATTGGCTACTATCAGCTCCCTCTGGTAGTTATGAAATAACCTAAAACATAAGTTGCTTTCTGCCTGAAAGCATATAATTCTTAAATTACTGTAAAATGTTTTAAGACTTTGAGAAGCTCTTGAGGATAGGAATGCAAATCAGAGAAAGCTTTTTCCAGTCCATTGTGTGTAAGGTTGTGGAATTTTTATGCCAAATCTAGCTAAGGAATAGTTGTTCTCCAGTCTCTGGACCAGGAGACACTCTTTGGTGCTACACTGAATGAAATACTTGGATCATTGACCACTGGAGGCTTAAGAACAGGTTGTCTCTCTGTTAATGAGATCTGTTACAAAATGATTCACCACTTGGAAAAGTTGGACTGTTAGGATGATAGAAGAACTTTTATGGTTTGAGCAATAGAAAGTGTTTGGTTAGAAACAAACACAGCTGCGGTTTCAGTCTCCAGTAGGTACAACTTATTTGTTGCACCTGTCATATCTGTTGTTCACTGCATTAAAGTAAACATCTTGCATCCTAGGATATTAAGCAATGGTTTAACTGGAAATGGCTGCCAAGCTAAACTTACTTAAACTAAATAACTTCCAATTCTCTTGTTTACATTGTGAGAAGTGAGACCTGGTGTGTTCCGTTCAGTAATACTCATGCAGGCCTGGGTAACTTCCCATGAATGTACATTCACTCCTATTGTGATGAATAGATGTAACTGGAGGCAGCATTTGATCCAGTTTTTTCTGAACAACTTTGATTAACTCATCTGACCCTACAGCATCAAATAGTAAATAGTACTGAGAATAGCTCGCAGCCTGTTTGTCAGTGTATGAAAAGTGTAGTTCTGTTTTATTGTATTTCTCAACATTTATATTGGGCTTTACCAATGTGGACTTTGATCCAATACATACTTTCCCAGCAAGAATGTCCATGTAGGGATATGAGAGGTTAATCGGTGAGGGTTGGAGCAGCTCCCCACTTGCCCTAGGGCAGGGCTCTGGGGACAGAATGCATTGCAGGCAGGGGCTGCTCCAGTCATCCAGAGCAGCCCCTGCCTGTTGCAGGGTGAGGCTGCTCCAGCCCTGCTGCAGCAGGCTTCCCCCACCCCCGTTAATTGTTTAATTGATTAACCGTTACAGTGTAATGTTTAAGCATTTAAACAAGATTTTTACATCCTTATTTTCATGTGCGGACTTGCACATGACTAAATGGTGGCTTTAAGATAGAGAGAACTTTGAAAGAACACTCCAAAATACTCTTCTTTTTGAGCTTAACAACACCTACGTGGTGTGTTTACTACTCCAGTTGCTCCGTTTGGGCACTTAATATAAAAGTCAGTTTCACTATTTCTAGCTTTCCTGTGCTAACCGAATCCTACGATAAGTGAGTTGTACATGAGGGTATAACTAAATCCAAACAAAATCATAGAGAAAAATGTTATGACACTTAGTAAAATCTTGATTTTGCAAAATGTAGGTGGTTCAAAAATGTGTCCGTTCACTACAAATTCTCAATCTGAGCTGGTGATAACCATAACTTTTGTTTCAGTGGTTGGCCATGAGGTGGTGCTCACACCACTGGATTCCTATGTTTTAAAACTACTTTGGTCTTGATTTATTTAAAATATATTTTTACAAATATTTATTTTGTTTATTTAAATAAAAAAATTTAAATGACTAATTGTAATGGACCATTATTTATTCTAATTTTTTAGCACCTAGAACAATGGGGCCCTCTTGTATTGATACTGATTTGGCATAAGGAGTTAAAGGTCTTTGAATTCTTTTACTGTCCAATATTAAATAGTGATAGTCTAGGTTACTTTTTACAGAAATCTTTGCAGACTCGCAAAAACATTCATTTAGGTTGAAAGCTTATTGATTAAACATAAAGAGAAAAAGGAGTTTAAAATAAGCATTTATATTGAAACGGTGGTTGAATGATTATATCAAACTTAGACTATATCAGTATAAACATCATTAATAATTTTTTATTTCAAAGAAAGTTAAATTTACACTTGCTCTTGATGTGTGGAGGTCATTCACTTATCACTTAACAAATAGACCGATACAAGGTAGCACAGAAACAGAATAGAAAAAAATAGGTCACACACATTTAGTTGATATTTTTTGGAAAACTGGACTGCTGGTTCACTGTAAGTAAATGTTTTAGCTGGCATGTCAACCATGACACCTGCTGCTTAGACCTTGGTTCAGGCTCTGGTCAGGGACGTCATCTGATTGGATCCTTTCTCCTTAAACGTGGAAGGATGAATGCTGTAGAGTTGATTTCAGCATTCAATGAAAAGCTCAGAGAATTGAGAGGAACAAAAACAAGGGAGATTGAAAACAGCACAACAAGGGAAAGTCAACTAGATATTTCCCCACCCGGGGGTAAGGACCAGATGTCACCATGATTGTTGACTTTCAGTGCACTCAGATGAAAATAAAATTCCTTAAGCAGGAACAAAGCCAGCTGGTTTTCCTCTTGAGAAGGAAGTCCCTTAGCCTTGTCTGCTCTTTCTGCCTTGAGGTTGAGGAAGCTCAGATGAGTCCCATTATTACAGAGGAATGTATCAGGATTAATGAGTTGGGAGAGAAGCTGGGGGGAGTTACTTCTTTTTCATGTCTGAAAGAGAAACCGTGGGTGCTGAATTTTATCCTATTATTTTGTAAACTAATTAAATTTATTTCTGTAAAGCCAAATGTGGCAGAGGTTGTTCCCACCTTTTCTTGTTTACTAAATATGATCTCGCCACAGTCTTTGACTATTATTTATAGGCCTTTTTTATTTGGACTAATTTAAATTTTCTGATTAGTTTTCATGGACCTGTCTATAACATTCATTTATTGAAAACAACTGCGCTTGTTTTCTGTGATTAATTCCTAGTTAGGCAAGAAGTCTTAGGATGTAGTTACATTTTGTGAACTTGCGTGTACTTCACACAATGGAATTTAGGCACATTTTTAGGTCTAATAATCATAGTAAGACTGAAAGTGACTGACTGCCCACTATTGTAATATAAGTAAAGCCCTTAATATTTGCTTGTACTAAACTTGTCAGAAAAATTCCTGTTTTCTAGCTACATTAATCTAATGATGGGAGTGGGTCAATAGTGACTAATACGACTATGTAGTTAAGGAGTCTGTTGTATCATTATGGCTATTTTATTGCTACACATAATGAAGAAATCAAACAGGGATTCTAGACACCACTGTTGTTTCACAGAATTAACAAGGCTTTGTATTTTCATCAGGAGTAAAATAAGAAATATTTTTTTCATCTTCAAAGAGATTATAAATACAGAACTGAAAGGAGTAGCTCATCTGATATGAGGGATTTTGGTAGATTGTCTCTATTCTCTGCCAGCCTTGGCTCCAAATCTACTTATTTATGAGAATGTTCTATGTCTGTATTAAACTCAGAAATAAAAAAAAATAATGCTGAACATTATCAGGCTGTGGAATTTGCCTAGAACCTATCCCTTCTGCTCCATAATCCAAACTGTCATTTAAAAATATAGCGGTTTAAATTTGTGAAGGGTATACAAGCCAATGCTACAATGTCTTCTGAGTCTGAACAGCCTGCAATAATTTCTCCTTCTTGGACCCTGAATTAAAAGAGAGCTGCATCTTATGCTATTGTACTGAATGACAGTTCAAATACATAGATAAAGTTTGTGTCTATACACCTGGAAGTAAGAATACTGCATAATAATTATAGGAAATTGCATAAGGACAATAACAGCTAAATATAACTCATCATTGGTATCCGCCCTTGGTGAACTTAATTACTTTTCCTGTAACTTCTGTATTGCCATTGTTTCATGTACATTCGAATAATTCTCTTTTAGTATCTTATTTTCCTCTCTAGACAAGTTCTGTGGTGGTCTTTAATTTATTTTCAGTAATGCTAATGGCAGACATTCAAATTTTACATGTTATCCCTTACCCCCCAAAAAATCATGAAATTGAGATTTTAGAAATTGCAAGTTGAGGAGTTTTTTTTTATTTGTCTTTTGGTATTGGAGCCTTCAAGATCATATTTTCAAGCTTGTCTTTGCAACTGCCAGGGCTAGGAACTTTTTTTTGAAAAATGATTCAGTTGATTAGGTAAGAATCTCAGCTTTCAAGAGCTGGAGCTCTAAGAAAAACTCCAAATACGGTGAGATTCACAATAAAATTGTGAGAGTTGGTGCTGCTGTGTAACATTTATAATCCATCTTGGTAACTATGATGCCTTTTTGCCTCCTCGTATTGTGAAGTGTGATGTTTACTGTTTGGATTCACCCTTAGTATTTTTAGGCAAGCCTGCCAACAAAGACACATCTTCTATTCCATGCCTAACTTATTCTGTCCACCATAAGGCTAAACAGTTGGAATATTGTGACCATGGACTTTGATGGGTAGGCTCACAATGTTTACACAAGATAAGTTTCTGGTATAAATAAGCTGTCTCTTATTTTTTTTAAATTGAAATAATTCCTTAAAAGATCTTTCAAATCTCCAGTCTCAGGCCCTGGTCCTGAATGGTGGAATCCCATCAGTCCTCTCAAAAGAGAGCCAGCTGGGGGTGGGGTCCCAACTTCTCGTATTACTGTCCCTTCAGGCTAATAGGGAAGGCTCTATGCTCCACAGCGAGCTTGAGATGAAATTCTACAGCGAGAACTAAGTATTCTGCAGCACTCCATTGCAGGAGATCGGAATTTCTTTGGCAGATTCTAATAATCTTAAAATTGAAGTATCTGTTTACTGAAATATGAATCATACAAACCTGACATTATCTAGTTACTCTGCCCCTACATTTTTAAGACACTGGAGAATTTTGTGTTAAGATAGCGTTAAAGAAATTGTTGGGGAACCATTGGCTAAGCCTACACTGCAGGCTATTTTGGGATACCGGAGTATCCTGAAATAGCTATCCCGTGTCTTAATAGCAAACCTGTTGTTTCAGTCTCACTATTCTGACATCCCTGTAAACTCCATTCCACGAGGAGTAAGGAAGATTTTGGAATAGTAGGTTATTTTGAAATGTGGTGGTGTGTAGACAGTGCCAATTACAAAATAAGCTATTTTGAAATAAGATAATTGGGATTGGTCCTGCCTTCCGTGGGGGGCTGGACTTGATGGCCTTCTGGGGTCTTTCCAGCTCTATGGTACTATGATTCTATGATAAGATTGCAATAAGATAAGCAATTTGCGTAGCTCAAATTGCATCTCTTATTTCAAACTACAGTGCAGTGTAGACATAGCCTGAGTGTCTTGGAAAGCGTTGAACAGCAAGAGCCTTGGGACTGTGAGAAGATACGGGAAGCATTCTGGGTTTGCTGGCTAAGCACATTAGCTGTTAGTTAATATGATCTGGAGTGAAAAAATTAATACTTAAAACAGCTGACATTGATATTTACATAATTAGATTTCAAAGTTAATGGGGCTTGAAAGGGGCCAAAATCTTATTGCAAGCTGAACACAGGCTAGCAGATATTTGCGTCATTGGCTTGTACTCTGTTAGCTTGTATTCCCACTTAAACGGGTGGATTTTTTTAAATTTAAATGACAGTTTGGATTATGGAGCACAATTTCCATGTCTTGATAATCAGATTTAGCATTATTTAAATTTCTGAGTTTAATGTAAGACAGACACAGAACTTCCATAAATAAGGAAATTCGGAGCCAGCGCTGGCTTGAATTTGCTCCTTTTTTTCCCCCTAGGCACTAGAGAAAATAAGGTTTTTATTATACGGTCTGTAATCCACACTGACTGCTATGTAGCACAGAACACAAGTTAAGGACTTAATATTGGTTATAAAATAAAAATCCTTCATTATCTAATCGCCTTTCTCCCTTACCATACTCTTTTGCCTGCTACAATCAGTCAGGATAGGGGGCTTTTAGTCTATTTTTACAGTGAGCCCTGTCTGCTCTAGAGCAATCTTAAGCATGTGCTATACTACAAACTTAACATTGATGGAAGCCTCTTTTAATGGACCTAATAAAGTATGTGTTGATACTGTCTGCCCACCTAGCAGACCTGTTATGTTGATTTAATTACCTCATCTCCACAAGAGGTGTAGTGCTTAATTTGATGTTGATAGGTCAACAGAGTGGCACTGTAGATGCAATATTAAGTATGTAATCTGAATTGACCTCCAGGAGGTGTCTCACAATGCTCTACTGTGACAATAATGACAGGAAACATCCGCTGCCCCTTAAAGTCTGTGAACTTTTGAATTCCAATTTTCTGTTTGATCAGTATGGAGGTACTTGGCAACCTAGCTCATCATTGAGACTGATTGCCCCAAATGCATTGTAGCCTTGAGTACACAGGAGGTGGTGGATCTTACTGGTTTGTAGAGAGAAGAGTCTGTCTGGCACAGCTCTAATTCTGCTGTAGAATCATCCTCATCTACGAAAAGATTGTGCAGGGCTACACCAGGGAAACACAGCAGTCCTGCTTGAAAATCAAAGAGCTGCTGCAAGTCTACCAGAGAACAAAGGAGGTGAACAGTTCTGCTTGTTCTGCACCACAGACATGCTGCTTCTACAATGAGCTGTGTGTGATTCTCAGCAGAAACTCCATCACTACCTCCAAGCATAGCATGGATCCCTCATAGGAGTCTGGGTCCCATGCCACTTCAGATAAATAATGAGGACATTATGGAAGAGGAGGGGGAGAAGTGCAGGGGGTCCATTCTCTCTGAGAACCAGGGGCTATTTTTAAACCCGGCCAGACAGCCAGTCACAAGAAAGCATTGTGACATGGCAGAGGCAGGTCAGGAGGTATGCTGTTATATGGGTCCTTTGTTCCCTAGGGGATGCAAAAAGGTTTCGGGCAGGAGTTTGCAACCTATGGCTCTAGAGCCAAATATGTATCAGTATGGAACCAAATATATCTCTGTTGTCACTCCCAAAATGCATGCAACTTTTTTAATTAAAATGAAAAATGAATTCAAAATTTTAAAAATGTTAACTCATGTCAAGATGAGGGGGTTGGTCTATTTTACTGTTAACTGTTCATTTTAACAACCATCCATCCTCTCCACTCATTGGGGGTCAAGAATATTCTCTTTTTATTTGATTGGTCAAGAAATCTTTCTATCACCATACATGATGGCGAACTCTGTAAACCCCTAACCGTAAAAATGGCGAAGAGAAAGAGATGACGAGTACCAAAATTTTCAAACGGCGTGGACAGACTGGGGTGCATTTGTGGATAGGTCTGGATCTCCACACTATCTCATTGGGGTGAGAGACTGTTCTCAAACAAAACAAAAACCAACACATTTCGTGACAAAACATGCAGCATTTGCTACAAATGCACAAAAAAAGCCTGTGAGGAGCTGCTGCAGCAAAAAATGAGCATTAAGCAAAATAGCCTTCTGGCATGGTCAAAAAAAGGTGGGAGCTTAAACTCCATGGCTATGGCTACAGTCCAGGCTTCTTACGTAAGAACTTTTTGCAAAAGAGATCTTCTGCAAAAAGTTCTTGCGCAAGAGCGTGTCCACGCTGCCAGGTGCTTTGCGCAAGAGATGTGCTTTTGCTCATGGCAGTGTGGACGCTCTCTTGCGCAAGAAAACTCTGATGGCCATTTTAGTCATAGGGGTTTCTTGCGCAAAAAAACCCCTGTTGCCTGTCTACACATGCCTTTTTGCACAAGAGCTCTTGTGCAAAAATGCTTATTGCTCATGGGGAGAGGAATAACTCTTGTGCAAAAAGCCCTGTGTTCTTACACTTTACTGTACTTTTTCTTGTGCAAGAATGGGCTTGTGGTGTGGATGCTCCACAAGTTTTTGCGTAAAAACTCTGCAGTGTAGACATAGTCCATAAGTGTTGCTGGTTCAGACAGCATCATTTGAGAGGGGAAGCCTTTGTCTGATGGAGATTGTGAAGAGACGCATGCTAAAAATTGGTCATGAATTATTTGACAAGTTTCACAACAAGGACAAAATTTTACAGAAAATTTAAGACATGCCATTATCAGCAAAAACAGTTCTTGACAGAGCTGTGAAAATGGCCTATCAAATCAACAAGGAACAAATGCAAAATTTGGGTACGGCTATTTATATTTCATTTGCTTTGGACAAGAAAACCGACATATGTTAATCAGTTGTGTATTCTGGGACGATATATTTGTGGAAATGCTGTGTATGAAGAAATGATTGAGATATCAATGAAAAATCAATCAAGGGGCAAAAACATCCTTAACAGTGTGATAAACTTTGTAAGAGAGAAATAAATATAGTTGGATAATCTTCTGTCTGTGTGTATGGACAGTGCACCTGGAACAGTTGGCAAATACAGGGATTCCTTACTCTTGTCAGAAGAGCTGAACCAGCCACTTTTGAAATGTCATTGCGTTGTGCAGCAGGAGGCATTTTGTATGCAATCTTGTGGAACTGATTTTGCAAATGTAATGGGACTGGTCATTCACATTGTCAATTGGACTCTTGCCCAAGCCCTTAATCACTGTCAATTTCAGTCACTGCTCGAGGAAGTTGATTCTGAATACCCCGATCTGCTAACGCATAATGTTCACTGGTTATCTCGGGGCAAAGTTTTGTCTCATTTTGCCACTTAGGGTATGTCTAGACTACATGCCTCTGTCGCCAGAGGCATGTAGATTAGGCTACCAGACATAGTAAAAAGGGTACGTCTAGACTACATGCCTCTGTCGCCAGAGGCATGTAGATTAGGCTACAAGACATAGGAAAGTGAAGAGGCGATTTAAATAATCGCCGCTTCATTTAAATTTACATGGCTGCCGGGCTGAGCCGACACACAGCTGATCAGCTGTGTGTCGGCTCAGCGCGATAGTCTGGTCGCGCGGGTGGCGACATCAAAGGTATTTGTCCACCACCCAGGTATACCTCATCCCAGGAGTGGTTGACAAATACCTTTGATGTCGATGGAGGTATGATCAGCTGTTTGTCGGCTCAGCGTGGCAGCCATATAAATTTAAATGAAGCGGCAATTATTTAAATCGCCGCTTCATTTTACTATATCTGGTAGCCTAATCTACATGCCTCTGGCGACAGAGGCATGTAGTCTAGACGTACCCTTACATTAATGAGATTGTCATTTTTAGATATGAAAGGTGTCAAACACACTGAGCTTTCAGACTGAATGGTTGCTTAAGTTTTACTATCTCGTCGACATTACTAGTCATTTGAATGCATTGTACTTTAAGCTACAAGGGCAGGGAAATACAGGCCTGACTCTGCAGCAGGCAGTGTTTGGATATGAGTCAAAATTGACTGTTTTCATCAAAGATATTGAGACGGGCAGACTGGCACATTTTGAAAGATTACAAATATTTCGTGATTCATATCAGAGAGAGAATCCAAGTAACAGCCTTGATTTGCAGCAACTTGCTGGGTTTATTTCTGAGCTCCTGATGGCATTCAAGTCTTGTTTTGTTG